GGCACCTTGTCTTAATAAAGGAACATATGATGATTGTAATAACCTCTCAACTTTGATCGACATCGTTCAAGCAACTATTTTTATTGTTGTCTTCCGTATGCTTCGATTGCTTGCTAAGATACCATTATTTGGAATTATATTGAAATCGTTGATACGAGTCTTAGTTCTACTCATTCCATTTCTTTTGTTGGGGTATTTATTCTACTTTGAGTTTGCAATTGTTGGAATGGCCATCTTTCGTGGAGTGAATCTCAATGACACTAAAGCAGCTGCAGAATGTGGTTCGTATGAAAATTTGAAATATCATCCATACAACTTTGAAGATTTTGGTTCTACACTCGTTTTACTTTGGAACTTAATGATAGTCAACAATTGGCATGTCATAGTTGATGCATACGTTAGGAGGACATCAATATACTCCAGAATCTACTTTGTGATTTGGTGGGTGCTTAGCGAAACTGTTATTAATGGTATTCTTCTTGGCTATTTAATAGAAATATTGTCCATAACTACCATTCGTTTAAAAGATGTGTTCAAAGATTTTAACAATAAATCAAAAAGGGAAAAATTAGCTTTAGTTTGCTTGTTTATTTTTGTCCCTCAAGATTTACGAGAAATGTTTCGAGGTGAAGCAGACTATGAAGATCTTGATGCATTTCATTCATGGAATATTTTTGACGCAACATTCAAAGAGAAACAGGGGGAAAGCTGAAATTAATAGATAGCAAAAAATTGCTGCATTAGTGTTGTTAGTAGTTTTTATGTTGTTATCTAGATAATATTAAAAATTGTGTGATGTGTTAAGTCTTAATTATAATTTTGTGTGAATTTACAAAACTGTCTATGACAGAAGGAACTGTTTTATTTTCTGATATAATTTTTTTGTTGCTTGATTTTGTGTTTAATTTTTTAGTTAAATTTTTTTCACTAGCTGATTGTTTTCATAATAATTAAAGTAAAAAGTAGATCTAAGTACTTAGTAGAGAGCTAAATCATTCCAATTCTTTACAATGATTAGGTACATGCCATCTTGCTGCTTTTTTACAAGCTCATTTGGGCTTGTTATTTGAAAAGTGTTTAACAGTGCAAGATTGAAGGTACACATCTAAAGGGACTACCCTGTGTCTTGTGTCATTATAATAACATAGTATCATTAGTGTGTGGGGTTCATTACAAGGTGCATCACCTCATTCACCAAAATTGCTTACTATGTCATGCTTTGTTACATGTAAGTAGCTGATTTGCTGATTATAGCAGGAAACTAGTATTGTGAGTGCATTACCTGAATATCTGTAATAAGTCATGCACACAGCAGCTGCTACTACATGAAAATAGCCAAATTTTTGCTGATTATGATCAGGCTATTATCAATCATGTTATTCCCCTGTTGATGAATACCCTAATTTTATTGTCTGTTGTGGTTGATTTGACTTCAGTTTGCTGTATATGCTAACCCTCTTGGTTGATATCAAGTAAGTACTAAGTAAGTAGTAAATCTTTTTGATTAATACTGATTTTCTGATCATTCATATTATTATTCATAACTTCCTAAAATTTATGAAAACTGTAAACATAAAGAGTTTTTTGTTTTTCGAAGCTGATATTTACTCTTTGTATGGCTGCTGTGGCAGTAGCTGTTTAATAGATGAAAAATTGAAAGTACAGGGGATTAACCTGTGTTTTGTATGATTATAATAACACTGTGGTGTGATTTGTATTCTATTGTGAGGTTCATAACCTCACTCACCTGAAAAATGACAAGGTCATTGCATGTAAATGTTGATTATGATTAGGCTATTCAACTATTATCAATCAGGTTACTGCATTCCTGGTTTCCTGCAACTGATGAATACAATTAGAAGTAGTCTATATAACACTGGTTTAAATTTGCATCTACTTTAGTTTGCTGCATGCAGTATAATTACAAGTAGCCCGGGTTTCTTTGTCTCTTGGTCGATTTCAATTGCTCTATATCCAAGTAAGTACTTATTGCTGTAGTAATGCATTATCTATTTCTTATTTTACTGTAATAGAAATTTTACTTTAAAAATTTGTCATAATTGTTAGAATTTAGAATAATAAACATACATGTACATGCATTATGTGTTTCCTACATATAATGAAGGTTGGATGCAGAAGATCTTAATTCTATTTCATAATTGCAACATCATTCCATGCATGGACCTTGCCTAGCATGCTAGATATTTACATTTTTAATTTGCTGCTTATTATTTATTAGCTATAAATTAACAACCATTTTTTATAACATTACTATCAATAGATTAGTTTTAAGAGCCACAATGTCTGACAAAGAAGGCCTACTATCTCAAAATGATGATGTGGCTAAGTATGCTCTGCTGGATGCGTTTCATCATGAGCCTTCTGCTCCTAACTTAATCAATAAAAAAAGGTTGTGTTTACGAGCTACACGTCATTCCATCTTCTTTAAAATTCTTTTTATTGGAGCTGCATGCCTTCTTTTATTCTTTGTTCCGCTCTTGGAGCAGAAACCCTCATTCACCAATTCAACAAACTACCTCACACGCAAAGAGGAGTCAAAGGCAACCAAGAGTGCATTCCTCTGGTCCAGTACTGCACTAGAATCAGTTTTTTTATTGGTGTTGCTTTTAGATATTGTTCTAAAAGGAATAGCACTATTTCCTTCATACGAAAAACCAAAAAAAAAATTAGTACCCAAAAATGAAAAACCTAACATAGTGAAACAGTACATTTATCATCATCCATTTTTTGCACCTTATCGATTGATATTTTATGCCTATACCGTTTGTTGGGTTTTATCCTTCATATGTATAATTGGCACAATTAGTACTCAAGACACAAATTGGTTTATAACAACAAGACAGCTTGTCCGTCCACTGTTCTTAACAGTTCAAGTGACAATGTTAAAAAAAGCTTTAAAAGCTATTTTTAAAGTTTCTTTACGTCAATTGTTTGTGCTTGCCTCATATGCATTGCTATTTATAGTAATTTTTGTATTCATGATGATTGGATTCGGTATATTCCCACGACATTATCCTGCTCTTTTGCTTCAGAAACACAACACTGTTAATGAGGAAGGAAATGAATACTTTAATTCTTCAGCTGAAGCTTATTGGAACTTAATTGTTTACCTTTCGACTGCAAATAATCCAGATATTGCAACACCTGCTTATAAACACCATCGTTTGTTTTACTTATACTTTTGTGCTTTTTATTTTATTGGAAAAGTTCTCATTCTAAATGTTATTGCAGCCTTCTATGCAATAAATTTCAACTCTTTTATTGACGAGTCTATGGAAAGAACTTGGAAACACCAAAAAAGTAGTCTACATTGGGCATTTGATAACATGAAACCCAATAAGCAAAAATGGATCAGCACAGATAAAGTTAAAAAAATTGTGAGAGACTTAAACATAAATGATGAATGCTGGGATGGTTTAAATTTTAAATCAATTGTAAGCTACAAAGATTTTGAAAATTTGATAATTGGATTCTTTTACAAAAAACCTCCAGGACAGGGATCTACTGAGCAAACTAAGTACAAGGTAGTGGGCATAAATAAATTTCGAAAGGGTCTCTCATTTTTAACAAATGTATTGGGTTTTTTGGTTGCAGTTTTTCAGTTTTTTGCACTGACGGTATTAGTCATCAAAGATTATAATGATACTTTAACAGGGCCTAATTCTATAATGGTGAAGACAATGATGGGATTTTCTATTGTGCTTGGTATCGAAATTATAACCAGAATAATTCTTCTTATAATGAAGTGTGCAATAAGGCATGGTGACACATTTTGCTGCAAGCAGAATTCTAACAATCAGAATGAAAAAAATCTTTGTAAAAAATTTTTTAATTGGTTTTTCTGTGGACATAGCCTAAGATTAAGTGGAAGAAAAAAATTTATCAAATTTCCACTCCTGATATTTGATTGGCTGCTACTAGTTGCTGTTTTTAGTTTGGGGCTAGTGCACTTTCCTTGTCTTGTTAAAGAAAAGTGTTTAAATTTGACAAATGTACTTACTCTTACTCAAATAACTATTTGCTGTATTGCCATAAGAATGCTGCGAATGCTTGCTAAAATTCCAATATTCTCCTTTGTTTTTAATAACCTGATTCGCATCTTATATCTTTTCATTCCATTTCTATTGTTGGGGTATTTATTTTATTATGAGTTTGCAATCGTTGGAATGGCCATCTTTCGTGGAGTAAACCTCAATGACACTGAAGCAGCTGCAGAATGCGGTTCGTATCAAAATTTGGAATATTATCCATACAACTTTAAAGATTTTGGTTCTACACTTGTTTTACTTTGGAATTTGATGATAGTCAACAATTGGCATGTCATGGTTGATGCGTATGTCAAACAGACATCAATATACTCCAGAATATACTTTGTGATATGGTGGCTTGTGTGCGAAACAATAATCAATGGTGTCATTATTGGTTTATTAATAGAAATCTTAACAAATGCTAAAGGTGGACTAGAAAATGTCATTAAAAAGTCCATTAACAAAATTAGAGAGCAGAAATTTTGGAAAGACAAGCTTTCCTTGATTTTGGGATTTTATGTATTTTCTGGGGAAAAGAGTAGGGTTTTATTAGAAGCTCATAGCTATTCCTTTGGTGACATAATAAAAATAGTTTTTTGCAAAATAATGCCCAAATGCAACAAACCTGCAAAACCACTCAAACTCAAACGGAGATCTAAGACTATGCCATGCCAACAAGAACTAGATCTGCCTAGCTCTAGCCCACGATACAGTCTCCAAGTAGTGGATATGACACCTAAGTCTGATCAAGAATTCCAAAGGAAAGACGACACCGAACAAGGCAACACTGAACAAGTTGAGATCGACACATACGAATTATTATATCATTATGAAAGTGATGACGAATATGAAGGTAGTCAGAGTACACAAGAAAGTGAGGATGAAGAGCTACCAGACAACTTTCAAGACTTATCATGGAACATATTTGATACTTTGGAGTACATAAAAAATCAACGAACCACAGAAAACAAAGCTAAAAAATGCAAACAAATAAAATAGTTGCATTGCTGCTATGCTTAATGTGTGGTGTGTGTGTTTTTTATTAATAACTTTGCTGCTCTACTTTTTTATTACTCTACTTGTGTGTTTGTGTGTCCTTATAATTATCAATTTTGCTGCTCTATTTTTTATTAAATGCTACTACCTTTTCCAATATTAATGCCCTTCAAAATTTTTGTGTAATAACATTTTTAGTGAAGTAATAAATAGATTGATTAATACAAATAAATATAATTTTTAATAATTAATGAAAGTTACTTGCTATCTCTGTTTATACTTGACACCTGGAAGGGAGCACAAAATTTCAAACAACAAATTAGCAGCTGTGATTGCAGTACCACCACTAACATCATACAATGGATTCACCTAAGCAACATCATTAATTAGAATAATTTATTAAATAATAATTACCTCAACAACATCAGCTGAGACTATGTTTAAACCTCTTGTACCTCTAATTACCTCAAGAGCTTGTGCTGTTGTCAAACCTGCTATCTCTGGAGTACCTAAAATAATAATAATAATAATAGTAATTTATTCAATTAAAATATGATGCTTGATGATTACATTGCATAGTGCTACATTAAGAGGTTTCTTAATAAAGGGTTTCACTTTGTGTATGCATTCATGTGTTACATTATTAGTAAATAGATATACATCATTCTCCTATTAACAATATAGCTGCTACGATTGTGAGTATACCTGTTCCTGGGCAGTAGCTTGGATCAATTGCATCAATATCAAATGTTAAGTAAACCGGTTGAGTTGATCCTAATTCCCTTCTGATATCAGCCATCAATGGAACCAGGGACTTATACCATAAGTCATGCGCTGGAAACATGTGAAAACCCTAACATAATAATAACAATAAAAAGTGATTATTATCATCTTCTATACATAATAGAGAAAGTACATACACTTATACAATACATGTACATGTATAGTTTATTATCTATACTTGTTCTAGTGGCCAGTCATAATCATCAGGGCCATAGCCTCCTCCTCTTAGCCCAATTTGAAATGCTTTCTTAGGATCAATAAGTCCTTCCTCAACTGCTCGTCTGAAAGAAGTCCCGTGACATATCTTCTCGCCAAACATGGTATCGCTGACGTCAGCATGTGCGTCAACATGTATCATGGCCAAAGGTTGACCTTTGACCTCTCTCAATGCTCTTAGTACACCCAGTGAGAGGGTGTGGTCTCCTCCGATACCCAGCGGTGTACAACCAGCTCTCAATACTCTCTTATACAGCTCACATATATTATCAACGGTTTTATGAAGATTATAAGGATTAACAGGGACATCCCCTATGTCCCCTACCTGTAGTGACTCAAACGGTGCTGCCCCTGTGATACGACTGTATGGTCCTATTATACTGGACTCGTTCCTCACTGCTCTTGGACCGTGGCGAGTACCGGACCGGAGTGACGTACCATTGTCCATTGGTATACCTATGAAGCAAGCATCCAAACCATTTGGATCATGACGGGTCAATGGTAGCCTCATGAATGTTGCTATATCTCCAAACTCAGGTACAGTACTTTCTGGTAGGGGAATGTTCCTCTTGATCTTCTCCTCTCCCCTAGGCTGTCCCTCTGATAATGAGCGGGTAGGAATAAACCTGGAGCTATTGCAACTAATGAATGACAGACTGGAGTGAAGTACTGCTCTTAGAGGAAACGGTTGAGAAGAAAGAGAACCAAATAAAAGAGATCTCTGCATCTTTTCTTGGCTGCCAGCCTGCCACACTTCCACCACACCTTAATAACGAGCCACGCCCTTTAAGCCACACCTTTTAAGAACCACACCCAAATGTGTAGACTGTTCTATCAAGTATCAATTTCGAGATCAATTTTAATGAAAACCTTTTAGCATGATGGTTTATGGTGTAGTACAGTCCTTATGGATGCTCTCACTCCTCATTGGATGTAGTGGGTATAATCCATTAACAGAAGCAGCTGAGAAACACAACTCAATTAAGAAACTGGACGAATGTTTTTGTCAAGTTAGCCTCTCCTCTCCTCCTTATTCTTATTTTTTTATTTATTAATTTTTTAAATAGTTATCAGGTCCAGTTGATGTTTGTTGTTGTGATGTAGAAACTGTTGATAAATTAAATACTGATAAGATATATCCGTTAGTATCAGAACTGATAAAGCAGCCATACTTTAAATATTTTAAGGTAGACTCCCAATAATAAAATGGATAATTTTATGATGTATTTATAGATAAATTTTAAAAGAAAATGTCCATTTTGGTCAGACGATGGTAGCTGTGTTTTAAAGAACTGTCATGTTGAACAATGCTCTGAAGTAAGTCCTAAAGTCACCAATCAATCAAGGCCTCTTTCTCTCTTATTATTATTATTATTATTATTATTATTATTATTATTATTATTATTATTATTATTATTATTATTATTATTATCATCATTAGGAGGATGTTCCAGTATTTTTAAAAGGAGAAGGGCCCTCTGATCAGGTAGTGTGCAGTCTTAAATCAGAGGAGGAAACTAAATTAAGCAGCATTGTTGGCAAATTTAGGTAAGAGAACAACATGTCATATATTTACAGCTACTTAGCAAGAGTAGATAAAGGGGATCTACTCTTGATGTTTGCCAATAGAGTACTCTTATTTCTATTCTCATTACTATACTGCACAAAATTGCTTTTGTGGTATGATTCTTAGGTTTTCTATTGCTATTAATTTACACTATTATCTATGCTATTATCAAGCCCAATCTTTAATTTACTATCACCTAAACCAGCAGTACATGATAAACCATTATGTCCTACGTTAGTACATTGGTTCTTATATTGAATTTTATTTAGTTCAGAGCAAGTCCAAGAGTTTGCAGAATGGGCTGTACATGACGACGAGCAAGAAAACTTTTGTCTTATGGAAGGTAAGAATTAATTTTAAAAAGCAACTTAAAATATCACACACTCTCTCTTTTAATTTATCTGTTCATAACAAGATGATAGTTCAGAGAATGCTAGTTATGTTGATTTGATTATCAATCCAGAGCGTTATACTGGATATTCTGGATACTCGGCTCACAGGATCTGGTCCGCTATACATAACGAAAACTGCTTTAGGTGAAAGAGAAAGTTTTAATTAAAGCACAAATTGCTTATTTTATAATTTAATTTTATTATTTTTAGGCCAAAGTCTTCATCTCGTCCTGGCCTTCCATTAGCAGCCACACTAATGCAAGGTAGTCTTGTTTATTTTATTTAATTTTGTTTATCTTTTTTGTTGTTTTTTTACAGAACTGTGTTTGGAGGAGAGGGCATTCTTTAGGCTAATCTCTGGACTGCACTCCAGCATCAATATACATGTAGCAGCTGAATATATACAATCAGGTATAATTAATGATAATTAATCTAATTTTAATATACCATCTCTCCAGGTGCTCTAACTGACGCTCCCAGGTTCGGTCCCAATTTGAATGAATTTGTGAGAAGATTTGATTCATCAAACACTAATGGCCAAGGTAAGCAACATGCGGGAGGATTTTGGCATAGTGCTTGGCATCAGTGGATTATTAAAATTGGACTGTGCACTATAGTACAACCATGTACTATAGTACAGGACAGGGAATTTCGTCAAAAATTGCTAAGAAAGAATTTCCATTTTTGTAATTTTTTGATAAATATACATGTATTCATGTTGTGTATAGAAAGTTGCTGATCAAATTTGGATTTTTTACAAATCTTAAAGTTTTTTAAAAATCGGGCCAAAGTCCCTGTACTATATAGTACAGAGTGTCAGTGTTTGATGTTTTATGACATTCATGTAATCTTTTGGTGGTTAGGTCCAGTTTGGTTAAAGAATATATACTTTGCCTATCTTGTGGTTCTAAAAGCAGTCACTAAGGCTGAGAGAGTGTGGTCTAATTACGTGTTTTACACTGGGAACGAAAAGGAGGAGGAGACTATTAATAAAACGATACAAAAATTGATATCGTCAGCAAAGTAATTTATAATTAAAATTATCAATTATTATAATGTATATTAATTTTAGTGGGTGTGGTCACAGTCTATTTGACGAGAAGCAATTATTTAACAAAGACACAGCTAGCGAACTGAAAGTAAAAATAATGATCTTTTAAATTTAAAAAATAATATTTGACATATTAGGAGGAGTTTCGTGCTCATTTCTTGAACATATCACGTATAATGGATTGTGTTGGCTGCAGCAAGTGCAGACTCTGGGGCACACTGCAGGTCCAAGGGATAGGGACTGCTCTAAAGATACTGTTCAGTGCCAAATCTCATTTTCATCTAAAGAGACAAGAAATAGTTGCACTCTTTAATGTACTGGGAAGGTAATAATAATAATAATAATAAATAATAATAATAATGATAAAATGGAGAATTCTCTCCTAGCCATTTTTCATGAAATATCCTGTGTCCTAATACAAAGTTTTTGGTCAATTTTGAAGTAGCTAAAATCTTTAGTAGCAGCTTTACTCAATATGCATTAGAAAATGGGAAAAAATGAGCTCAAACTCTTTTTTATTAGATTGTCGAGCAGCATAAAAGCACTCCAGGGATTCAAATCAATGCAACAAGTCGACAGACCAGACCCACCACCTCCTGTCTCAGCTCCACCCAACACTCACAGAACAAAAAAAGAACTTTAAAAATCAATTCACATCAACAGATCAGATGTATCATGCATATTCAATTATTAGCATTAGTATTATTTAATTATTATTAAATCAATTTATAACAAATCAACTGTACATGCGAGAGTTCTTGGATTTGGTAAATTGTTAGGATACTTCAGTATTTCCTCTGAGCATAATTTACAATAATATCCTAATAATGATGACAATAATCTCATGACACTTATTCACATAATCAATACTTTGATTGGTTGTGCAGCTGCTGTTAACTGAAGCCCGAGTGATCGGAGGGCAACAAATGGAGTAAGAGAAGTTGAGAATAATCTCTGCAGGCCATCAATGGCAGCCATTATTGGCATATTGAGCCTCTGAGACTCTCTTTCATATGACAAGAGACTAGTTATGTTACCTACAATAAATCAGTGTGTGTACATTAGTATGTCATGTACATATGAATACATACCCCAGTCTCCTCCAGCTGTACTGGTTTTCAATAGCTCCTCGTGTAAATAAATGACGTCACCCAATCCAATGTTAACACCAAGCCCTGCTAATGGGTGGACTCTATGAGCTGCATCACTGAGAGAGAGAGAGAGAGAGAGAGAGAGAGAGAGAGAGAGAGAGAGAGAGAGATGAGACTCCATTGTTGTAAAGCTAGTTCATTACGTACCCAATGAGAGCTATCCTTTGCTTTACATAATGAGGAGAGTGTGAAAATCCTAACGGGAACATTCCCCTACTCTCTCCCTCAATGTCTTTAATGGTTGGAGGTAACTGTCTCACACTAACTGAACCTTATGATAATCAAAAATGAGGACGTTGTTAATAATAATAATAAACTATTTCCATAATATCATACCAGGAGATACAATTGATATGGCATTTCTTAGTACCTCATTAGCTGATGACACCAGCTGATCCTGGGGAAACTCAGCAAACTATAAATTAATAAATGTAATATTGTCATGTTAATGCAACTGTGTGCATACTAGTGCTGTGTTTACTGATGCTACAAAATCTTCTGGTGACATTTTCATGAGCTGCTCAGCATGAGAAGGAACAGTGGACCAAACTAATGAGCACTTATCATCAGTTAACTAGAGGAAAGAAACCACAATGGACACTCAAACTATATAATAATCTTTTACTGACTGGTAGCAATGCTATAGGACCATCTGGTAAGAATCTCTGCCAAGCAACAGTGTTCTCAGACATACCCTAATAATAAATGTGTACATATATCCCTAATACATATGTACATTGTGTATATACCCTATTCCTCAATGTATTGTACATGTGCATACCTCTTCAATGTCAAGTGTAGCTACAACTGCCGATTGATCATAATTCCAATTAACAGGATCTTGAAATCCACCCAGCTTACGGACACGAGACTTTACACCATCAGCACCAACCTACGAGAAACAAAAAAAAGAAGAGACATAATTTACCAATAATTTACTAATAATTTCATTGATATACAGGTTCCATCAGAGAGAGGGAGAGATAACCATGGATTATTAATAGAATCCTATGAATAAATAAATATAAAAATATTAATATTAATTCTAATCACTAGACATACTTTCATTTGGGTATGGTCAATAGACTTGAGCGTCACGCCTCTCTTTATTTCAATATTACTTTCCTCGTTCACTTTATTAGAGAGTGCTTGAAGTATTACATCATTCTCAACAATATAGCCCAAAGCGTCATGCGACAAACCCTCCTCATGTGACTGACCAGTGTACTGCTCTGATGATATGCTGTATAATGAATCACTTAAATCATCAACACTGAAACCAATGGAGGATGGACTACAGGCATCCCAGACCTATACATGTACATGTAGTACGATTATTATACATGTACACGTAAAATGACATCTCACGTGAATCTTTTTGAAAGGCTTTGCCCTAATGGACGTTATAAGTGGCCACACTCCATAACCTTATCAGTAAATAATAATAACAAAAATAATTATAAATTTGTAGTTTGTACTTTTAAAAAAATGAACCGAACCCAGTGACAATGCACAAACCCGATTACTGTAGTGTTGATTGGGCGAGGTAGTGGGAGGAGCCTCAGTGCTGGACTCTAATAGGAGGACTCTTGCATTAGACATTGCTGGAGTTTGACCTGTTAAGAATCGACAATTCACTCTCCCCTACTATCTCTCTCTTACCTACACAGACAGCAAGTGCCTGACCAACCATTCCTCCTCCTACTATCACTAGATCATACAGAGGCTCATTGCTGTAGCTCCTCATGGTAGAAGACAAAAGAGAGAAAGAATGAGGCTGCTTTTGCAGGAGCTTCATCAAAGACGCCATCTTGTTATTGAGGTTAGTTTATTAACCATTGGGCACACCTATTCATAAACCGACCACGTGAGCACAACAAAATGGCGGCCGAGGATACTCTTTCCACTAAAATTCAAAATATTTTGTTCTCTCCTAATACCCAGCTGCAAACTCCATACACTACTAATGATGTAATGCGTTTCCTCGGCTCGGGCTACATGCGTCGTGACGTTAATCGGGTACTCTACATGCTTGAGAAGGAGAAATTCATAGAGAGAGTAAAAGAGTCTCCGCCTACTTGGATATCCTTTGTTACTTACGCCCCTGATCAAAGGAGTGGATCAACTCCTAAAAAAGATGCATATAATAGTGCTGCGGTTCCAGTGGGCGTGTCTGGGGGTGGGGCTTCTCCTGCTCACCAATCCGAAATACTCGAAGTGCTAATACACAGTAGTAACCCTCGTACAGCAACTGAAGTAGCAAGTGAGATTGGATTAAGAGGAGCATCTGCTATCAATCCCGACCTCCTGTTAATGGAAAAGGAGGGGATTTTACGTAAAGTTTTTCAGTCTAAGGGTCCAATATTATGGGAACTGGCGTCAAGGCCGGAAAGGGCAGGCCCAAGTCCAAACCCCAAGATAATGTCACATGGTTATAACACAAGATCAAAGAGACAATCAAATAGCTTTAAATCGCCACCACAACCACCTCAGCAATCGCCTGTTAATGTAACAAGAAAACCAGTTCCTCCCTCCAATTTCTCTCCATCTTTTAAACAACCACCTGTACTCTCTCCCCCCTCCTCCTTTGCCTCTTCTAAACCTTATACCGCTAACCATTTACCCCCTCCTCCTCCTCCTCAAGAGCATGTCAATGCCCCATCATCATCATCAGGTTTCAAAAGTTTCTCTTCTGACACTCGAACTGATGAATCACGCTCTCTCATTTTGCAATACCTCTCAACCTGTTCTGAGGAGAAGAAGGCAGCTTCCATAGCATATGACTTAGGTAATTTAAAAAAGACTACTTTTACTGATTACTTTTACCTTTTATATAATACCTCCCCTTCTATTTGTCCATTTCTTTCTCTCCTTCATTAGGTATGTCACGTCATGATGTTAATGCCATTCTCTATGCTTTGGAGAGTGAGGGATTGGTACGTTGTTTTAAAGGAATAGGTCCTCCAGTTTGGATCATGAAGCAGACTAACCCCCCACCAGTGGGCAGGGGGGCAATGAGACCTATAATGGATAATACAAGGCATGGTCCAGGGCCTCAAGTATGTGTATGTGTGTCTATTTGTATGTTTTTGTATTTGTAATATGTATTGCTTAAACACTTTATTTTTTACAGTCTTTAGGTCGTAATGTGTCTATGTCGTCATCAGCTGCAGCTCCTCATCCTAACTCGTTCTCTTTCGCTCAATCTCAAAATAACGTTGAAATCATTTCACCTTCTCTCGCTCCCTCACCTCTCCCTCCTCCTCCTCTCCCTCCTTCTCTCCCTCCTCCTTCTCTCCCTCCCCCTTCTCTCCCTCCTCATTCTCTCCCTCCTCCTTCTCTCCCTCCTCCTTCTCTCCCTCCTCCTCCTCATATTCCTGATCCCTCTTCCTCTGCTCCTCCTCCTCCTCCTTGTCCCTTAGAGCCATACTCGTGCTCTCCTGCAGCTGCTGCTCTTGTCAAAAAACTGACTCGCAATCCGATATCAATCCTGTCAGAATTCTGTCAAATAGAAAAGCTTGCTTTCTCTCTCTCTGTAGTCAGGGAGCATGGTCCAGATCACTCTAGGACATTTACCATTGCTGCTTCTTGTCCTCCATTTTATGCCGAAGCTGACGCAACGACCAAGAAAGAAGGAAGAAGAATGGCAGCAGAACTGGCCTTGCAAAGAATCCGTGCTTGCATTGTCGTGGGCAAAAAAGAAAGCACTGGTCCTACTTGGTTTTTAGATACTACTCCGTCTGCCGAGGGAGAGGAGGAAGAGGAAAGAGCTGGCAAAGACACTGAACTAACTTTTCACGATCACATTGACAGTGTAGCTCATTCACTACACACAAGGTTGGAATTAGCTCTTGGCTTGCCCCAGCCAGGTCGTAAGGTCATGGCTTGCTTTATTATGGAGGACTCCGAGACTGGACAGCTCGAGGTCGTTTCGTTTGGTACTGGAACGAGAACAGCCTCGGGCGACCTATTGGATCTTAAAGGCGAGGTTGTGTTTGATTCTCATGCTGAGATTATTGCTCGACGCGGTCTTAAAATGTTCCTTTACCAAGAGCTCCAGGTCTATTACGATGGAGGGGACGATGTTGAGACGATTTTCGAAGCAAATGAAGACGGCAAGGAGCTGACTTTGAGAGTAAAGAAAAGCATAAAATTTCACTTGTACATATCTACTGCACCTTGTGGTGATGGGGCCCAGTTCTCAAGACTGGACAATGATAACCGATTGCCTCCTCCCCCTGGCTCACCCCATGTCCCCACTAATAACGGTAAATCCCAAGGTGTCCTCAGAACCAAGATGGAGGGAGGAGAAGGGACCATACCGATTGGGCCAGAGACCCAACCACAGACGTGGGATGGTATCATTCAAGGAGGCAGGCTTAGAACAATGTCATGCAGTGATAAGATTGGCAGCTGGAACGTACTAGGACTTCAAGGAAGTCTCCTTAGTCTTTTTGTGGAGCCTGTCTATCTCTTCTCTTTATCTCTCGGCAGTTTACATCACCACGGTCACCTCTCTCGTGCTGTCTGCTGTCGTTTCCATGAGCTCGGCCCGTACCTACGGCCTCCTTATAAGGTCAACCATCCTCTCCTTGGAAGAGTGAAAGGTGGGGACGATATGCCGAGACATACAGAGAAGACGAGTAATTTATCAATGAATTGGGTAATAAACGACGATAAACCAGAGCTGAATGACGGGACTACAGGACGTCCCATCTCCTCCTCTTCTTCCCCGCCTGTGTCCCCTGGTACCTCTCAATTATCAAAGAGCAATCTCTTTAACGAGTTCCTCTCTCTCTCCTCTGTCAGTGGCCATACTGACCATCTCCGTGTCCAGAGCTATGCTGAAGCTAAGAGTCTTGCTGTTGCTTATCAGGAGGCTAAAGGATTGCTTCACAAGTATTGCATGGAGAAAGGGTATGGGCTCTGGATGAAGAAACCTCCAGAAATTGACCAGTTCAGTCATAAAGAAGAATCGATGGATGTATAGAGAAATTGAAACTAATGATTTATTAATTTAATCACTTTCTGTAAAAATTAATTATGAAATGGGATGTGGGTGTGGCTCGTTATTTTGCACCATTTGCTTACATACACATGGCGAGCAAGCGAGTGCTTACATTTGTAACTGGCAATCCTAGAAAACTAGAAGAGGTGAGTGTCTTCTTTATAATTTAATATATTCAGTTTCTTCAGGTGGTGGCTATATTAGGTGAAAATACTCCATGGAAGCTGATATCTAATGATGTTGATTGTAAAAAGATCTAATTATTTTTTCTTTATTTTAATTTTTTTATTTAAATAGTGCCAGAGCTGCAAGGTGAGCCTGATGATATAGCACGTGACAAATGTCAAATGGCAGTGGAAAAGGTTAATATTTAATATATCAGGGTATAATTGGGTGAATACTTGACAATAGATAAAATCTCCAGTAATTGTTGAAGACACTTGCCTCTGCTACAATGCATTGAAAGGATTACCAGGACCTTACATGTGAGCGAGAAGAGGGAGGGAGAATGAACTCTACATTTACAAGATAAAACGTATATATTTATTTGTTTATGCAGAAAATGGTTTTTACAGAAACTAGGACACAAAGGTGTTTATGATATTCATTGTAGCATTCCAATATTTTTTGCTGTAGGCTTGAATCAGTTGCTGTGTGGATATGAGGACAAGACTGCATATGCTTTATGCACTATTGCATATTGTGAAGGACCTGGTAAAGATGTGAAACTATTTAGAGGGAAAACTGATGTTAGTTATAGCTCTGTTTCTTATATGCATTAACTTTCAATATTTTCTCTCTTTTCACATCTTTCCTTGTAGGGTACTATTGTAGAAGCCAGAGGTCCTCATAAGTTTGGTTGGGATCCTATATTCCAACCAGCTGGTTTTTCAGAGACATATGCCGAGATGGAGACAAGTTTGAAGAACTCTATATCTCACAGACGGAAAGCACTCAATGGTCTTAAAGACTTTCTTGATACAACGACAATGAAAGATGGAGAGAACGCTAGCAATGGTAGCGATGGAACTGATCTTCAGCAGCCAGAAAAGAGACCACGTTTAAACGAATAAAAAATAACTCCACTGTGCATTGGAATATTTGGTTAAAAAATCTTTCTAGAGAAAATAATAAAAATAATCATTATTTTTAGAGAAATTAATATATAAGGCGTGGGTGTTATTAATTAATGATGTCATGATACATGTGTACTTGTCATGTGATTGCTCAAGAGGCGAGGTTTTCCTCCATTTCTTCTTAGTTTTTGTGCTCGTCTAAATCCCTCTTTGCTTGTGTAGAATATGTTTGAGAAGACGCTCAGTGATCTCGTGCGTGGCATCAGGTCTCACAGAGGCTCTGAGGTACGTGCACGGAGAGATGATTCTTCGAGAGTTTACTGATATTAATAATGATTATTAATAGTAATTGGTACACCTTAAACACTCATTAGTGTCATAGCAAGCTGTTTATATGTTTTTTAAAAAACTCTTTTTTCCCTCCTTTAGTCACAATTCATATCGTCATGTATGGCAGAGATCAAGAGAGAATTAAAGCAAGGAAACATCACCGTAAAAGCAAACGCCATATCTAAACTGACCTATGTAAGAGAAAGAAAAGAGAGAGAGAGAAAGGGAGGGGGCGGAGAAGGTCAATTATTATTTTTTTTACTGTAGCTTCAAATGTTGGGCTATGATATTACGTGGGCGGCTTTTAACATCATTGAAGTGATGAGTTCATCAAAATTCACATACAAGGTAAAACGAAGAGCACATGTACATGTACATACTCAACGTGTCACATTTATCTCATTCACATCAATTTAGTGACATTCACATTCACTAATAGTACAATTGCACAAGTATACATACATTTAATGGTCTACTCTACTACATAGTAGATAATGAGGGGTAGGACTAGTTGTATTTGTAGCTGTTATAGTACTAGCTGTTGTTTTTTCATCATTGATTGTAGATGTTATCAAAAATGTACATTATTATTTATCGTTTTTTGTTTTCTTCCCCCCCCCCCAGCGTATTGGGTATCTGGCAGCAACTCAGTGTTTCTATGATGACCTTGACCTGGTCATGCTCACCACTAACATGATTAAGAAAGTAAGGACGAAAGAGAGGAGAGAAAATGAAAGAGAATGAGGTGGAATACTACATTATACATGACATGTACATACATTTATCTTGCAAAGTGGTTTAGTATATACTTAATTCTAATTTCTTTCTCTTCTTTTTCTTTGAAGGATTTGTCTAGTCCTAATCAATACGAAGCTGGTTTGGCACTAACTGGTCTATCGTGTTTTGTTACTCCTGACATAGCGAGAGATCTGGCCAACGATGTCCTCACGCTGGTAAGTTGTTGAGTCTATCGATTTATTTCCACTCTCTTTCTCTTCACTCAGACCTCCTCCAGTAGACCATACATTAAGAAAAAAGCTGTGGTCGTTTTATACAAAATATTCTTAAAAGTACGTCGGCCATTTTACTTTCCTACAATTAGCCATACTTCTTTACCATCCCATAGTTCCCAGACGCACTCCGACCAGCGTTCCCACGTCTCAAGAATTGTCTAGAGGATCCTGATCCTGGCGTCCAGTGTGCTGCAGTTAGTGTGATATGTGAACTGGCTCAGAAGAATCCTAAGAATTACCTATCGCTTGCTCCGACACTTTTCAAGCTCATGAATAATTCATCTAATAACTGGATGTTGATTAAGATTATTAAACTGGTGAGGAATGCAATTAATGAAATTAATGGTATCAATAGCACAGTTTTAACACTTTAAAAGATTATTACATTTTTCTTACGTACAATTGTACATACAAGTACATTATCCTCCTTCTCTAGTTTGGTTCTTTGTGTCCGTTGGAGCCGAGATTAGGAAAGAAGCTAGCAGAGCCACTAACTAGTCTAATTCATAGCACATCAGCAATGTCACTCCTTTATGAGTGTGTGGCTACTGTTGTTGCTGGTATGCCTACAAACACTTCAATGATGCAGGTAATGTACATACCTATACATAGTAATATGGTTTAATGTCCTTATTCTTCTCTCCTTCCCCCCCCCCTCTCTCTCTCTCTCTCTGTCTCTCTCTTCTCTTTTAGTTGTGTGTGTCCAAGCTACGTCTATTTATGGAAGATGCTGATCAAAATTGTGAGATTATTGTTATTATTATTATCATTACTAAATATCTCCCCCTCTCTCAATACAGTGAAGTATCTTGGTCTATTAGCAATGTCGTCCATCATAGTTCAGCAACCAAAGGCAGTAGCTCAAGTCAAGTGAGCCATTATATCACATACACACATATAGTCATTATTGCCCCTCTAGGGATATCATTATGGACTGTATGGAGGATAGAGATGAGTCAATACGTATCAGAGCCCTTGAGCTCATAGTTGGGATGGCAAACAAGAAGAACATCAATGAGTTGGTTCGGAGTCTTCTCGGATACATTGATACCACAGAGAGCACTTGTAAGCCAGTCTCTTACTCGTTTCTATAACTCGTCAAACCTGTTTCTAGTTTTTAGAGACATAGTGATAGAGAAGATCATTACAATGTGTTCGTATAAGGGCTACTCTCACATCACTAATTTTGAATGGTAAGTAATTAAATATTATTATTAAATAATTGATTTAATTTTTATTTAATTATTAGGTATATTACTATATTAGTTGAGATGACGAGGTTTGAGGGCACGAGGCATGGGAAGTTGATAGCGTCTCAAATGTTGGACGTTACGATTCGAGTTAAAGATGTCCGGCCTTTTTGTGTTAGGCAAATGGTAAGCAAGAGATAAGAGTATAGTAATTATTGAAACATGGTATGTACAAGTGTAGTAGTTTATAATGAGACATATCATCTCAGTGAGTAGCATATTATGCATAATTTTGATCACTGCATGTACAATGTACATGTATATATAAGTTGCTCCAAAATCAGGCAAAAATCCCTGTACTATAGTACAGGGTCTTTAGCAAAATTTTGGCAAAAATGAAAGGGAGAGAATTCTTCATTTTTATAATTTTTTCTGATGCATATACATGTTCTTGTGTTGTGTAGAAAGTTTGAGCTGATTCCGATCAAGTTTGGATTTTTAATGAATTTTTAAAGTTACTCCAAAATCGGCCTAAAGTCCCTGTACTATAACAGGGTCTTCAGCCAAATTTCACCAAAAATTAATAGGAGAGGATTCTTTATTTTTATAATTTTTTCTGATGCATATACATGTTCTTATGTTGTGTAGAAAGTTTAAGCTGATTCCGATCAAGTTTGGATTTTTTTAATGAATTTTTAAAGTTACTCCAAAATTGGCCCAAAGTCCCTGTACTATAGTACAGGGTCTTCAGCCAAATTTCATCAAAAATTAAAAGGAGAGGATTCTTTATTTTTATAATTTTTTCTGATGCATATACATGTTCTTATGTTGTGTAGAAAGTTTAAGCTGATTCCGATCAAGTTTGGATTTTTTATGAATTTTAAAAGTTACTTTACTTTATTATCTCTCCTATCCTTCAGGCTACCATTGTTGAAAACACTCAGTTGTTTGTTAGTAGTAATAAGAACGGACCCTGTGAAGTACTCTATGCAGCTGCTTGGATTGTAGGAGAATTCTCAGAGTGAGCCATAATGTAAATTGTCCCTTCTAATAATTTTTTTTCTCCCTCCTTCTCTCCAGACATTTATCCAATCCCCAGCCAGTGATGGAGGCACTCATCAATCCTCGCATTACTGATCTCCCTGGACACATTCAAGCTGTTTTTGTTCAAAACATTGTCAAACTATACGCCAGCATACTAGTCAAAGCTGAAGCAGAGGTAATAAGTAGAACATAATAACTTTTGTATATGTGACTAACTAGTTGCTACTAACATACATGTATAATGTTAGTACAAGTATTCTTATGTATTGCTAGTGCATGTACACGTACATGTATCTGTTTTAAAGGAATAAAGTGCTACACTTTAATAACTAATATATGGATAATAGGGTAGTACTGAGGCTGTGGAAGAGGTGGGGGCAATGCTAGTTGAGAAGTTACCAGTTTTCATGCAAAGCAGTGATCTTGAAGTTCAAGAGAGGGTAAGGAGGACCACACATCATGTGACCATCATGTGATCTCATTACAGGCTTGTGGCATACTCCAACTGATGAAGTACATTGTCAAGCTACAGAGTAAAGGTAGTATAGCCTGGTTTTTAAAACTGGTTTGACGAGTTTATAGGTGCAGCCGTTGCCGATGAACTACAGAAACTGTTTGCCGGAGATTTGAACCCGGTGGCACCAAAAGCTCAAAAGAAAGTTCCAGTCCCTGAAGGGTAAGGAGAGGAAGAAGAGGCTCTTGATTTCTCTCTCTCTTCTCTCTAGCCTTGATTTAGACAAGTGGATAAATGATCCTCCCAGTGACAGTGAAGACGACATGGAAGATGAGACCACCACTAACTTCTTTGGAATTTTGTCTGCCGACTCTCACCGGACTCCGTTTTATCAGGACGATGATATCGGTACTCCAGAGACCTCCAGAAAGAAGAAGGACAAGGGGAAGGGAAAGAAGAAAGGGAAGAAGCACCGAGGGAAAGGAGAGGATGAGGAGGATGGTGGCTATCCAGAGGACGACGAAGAAGAAATGAAAAAAGTAATAGTAATAATAATAGTTATTAATTGACTATTTTTAATATCAATTAATAGGCCCGTGAGATCAGGCGTCAGAATATTGAGAACAATCCTCATTACTTGAAAGCCTCTCCAGCTGCTAAGAGAAAACAAGAGGCTCCAATAGAAGAGATAGAGAAACCAGCAGCTGCCAAAGAAGTACCAGGAATTAGTAAACTAGAACTGGGAGTGCCTTTGATTATTGGTGAGAGAAGTATACATGTATAAGATGGATTTATATTGTGTAATTCTCTTTTATAGAGGCTCCGTCAGTGAGGGATGCTTTAAAGTCAAAGAAAGGAAAGAAAGGTAAGAAGAGGAAAGGAAGACACGAAGAGGAAGAGGCTGTCTCTAGACCTGTTGTGGACACTACAGCCGAACTCCCTGAAGTAAGTATACTGAACTTAGTATACGTCAGTATACTATGTGTTTGCATACTGTATATTGTTGGTATATTTCAGTATATCATATAATATATTGTTAATTGCAGGGAGCTCTTGAGTCTGATCCTGATGATACAACTGATCAGTTAGCGGATGATCTTGCCAAAAAATTAAACGTTAATCTTGATGAGTGAGTACTAGCTCTAATCTTCTCAGTTTTATTTCATCCCTCTCTCTCCCCCCCTCTCTCTCTCTCTCCCCCTCCCTCTCTCTCTCCCCCCCTCTCTCTCTCTCCCCTCCCTCTTTCTCCTCCAGGCCTTTAAGAGATGATGAGGCCCTACCAGTCCGTACTCATCGTGTTGTATCACAAGACGCCCAACCCGTCGAAGAGAAAAAGAAGAAAGGTGATAAAAAGAAATCAAGCAAGAAAAGATCGTCAAAGAAATCCAAAAAAGATGTAAAAACGTACTTTTTGTGTAACGTGTGCCTTGACTCCATCAAATAGAAAGGAGAAGAAGAGGAGGAGGAGGTGGAGGAGGAAGGAGGAGAAAGTGGAGGAGGAGGCAAGTGCTGAAGTGAAAGGAAAGAAGAAGAAGAAATCAAAGAAGGAAAAGACTAAGAAAGAAGACGGTAATTTTGACCATTTCTCTCCTTTTCATTAATTATATATATCATTCTCAGAGGCCACACCTAATGTATTATTAGATTTTGAGGATGTCGAAGATGAAACTCCTTCAGTACCTGAACCGCAACCAAAAACTAAAGAAAAGAAGAAACCAGCACCAGTTGAGGAAACTAAAAAGGTAAGCTTATAATGTGGGTGTGACTATAGTTTATTGAACACACCCACCAACATAGGATGATATGGACAGTCTTGACTTTTGGCTCTCTTCTTCTGATGCTAAAGTAACAGAAGAAAAGGTGAATAGAGACTTGTATCGTGTGACTAAGCTGATCGACTGTCTTGCATTGCTGTAGGTTGAAACTGTGACTGAGCCAGCAGCTGAAGTAAAAGAGACTAAAGTCAAGAAAGAAAGGAAGTCAAAAGGAGAGAAGCGATCATCTAAAAGTGGGAAGAAATCTCGTAAATCCGACTCTGCAGGGACAGAGTCTATTCCTAGTGTAGGCGTGGCTAAGAGTGGGGTCAGTGCCACTAGTGAGTTGTTAGAATTAGGACTGGATGAGGTATCAACCAGCAGTACTGAAACAGGAACAACATTTAAACTATTAGCCGAGGATGAGAACCTCAAACTAGTAAGTACATGTACATATCTTCTTTATGTCTTTATTCTTCTCTTAGTCTTATGATATCAAAGCCAATCCAATGTACAACAATGGAATCACCGTTGCTATTGTGTTCAAGTAAGCAGCTCATTGCATATGATAATGATTACTCGATCTGTCACAGTAACAAGAGCTCCCTTCAGCTCACCTCGCTTGACTTCAACGTATTGGACTCGCTCAATGCTAAACTGGAAAGACCGGTTTGACTAGTTATTGCATATTATTTGTTTAATTTATTTGCTAAAAATAGAGTGGAGTCTCTGCTCAATCAAGCGTCCCTGTGCCGTTCCAGCTACCCCCTGGTAGGATTTATACTTATTTTTAATATTGAAATTGAATGGTCCTCCTTTTCTCTCTCTCTCTCTCTCTCTCTCTCCAGGCACTGCTAATGAGTGTCAGTTCATGTTTACTGTCCAAGAATTCTACATGACACAGAAACTGAGGGGAACTGTCACTTACATGATGAAAGTATTTATTTATTTATGATTATTTTTATTTTATGTTTTTTTAATTTTATGTTTATTCTCAGAGTGACAGTGGTACTGCTCAAGATAAAATTGATTTCAAGCTCACATTATCTCCATCATCTTTTATATGTCCAACTAAATTGCCTCAGTAAGCCGTAGCTTGAAAGCGATTCATTATTGTTCTTGTTGTTCCTTTAGGGACAGGTTTGCTGCTCTCTTGAGCTCTGGTAATCTCTCAGAGACAGTCTCAGTTAAAGTCGGTGATATTCTTTTTAATATAATTGTGTTACTAACATTTCTACCTCACTCTCTCTCTCTTCATTTCTCTTTCATAGTGCAATTTTACTAAGACTAGTACTTTCTTTGGCTCCCTCAGTGCCATAATGACTACACTTCACCTCAGTATTGTAGAGCAGTCCTCTGACAGTGCCTCGCTGTATGGCTGCTCTATTGCCGGCCATCACATCTGTATACTTGTTAAATCACAGGTAGATATAGACTCGCCATTTTACTACATCATTGTTGCTTTGTTATTATTATTATTATTATTATTATTATTATTATTATTACTATTATTATTATTAATATCTTGTAGGGTGATACTAAGATTGCTGTTAGTGCTAAAGGAAGTGACAGTCGTTTGGTTTCTAGTCTAATGGATGAACTGAAGAATGTGGTGTGAGGAGTGAGGGTGTACGGACGTGTATAGTAAAGCAGGTGGTTTTGTGTGTTTGTACTTATTATTATTATCTCTTTAGCTGAAAATTTAATTTATTGATAATGGCAATTTACTATTATTATTATTATTAATTGATAATTTTTGTAACAATTTGTTATTAATTGATTGGCAAATTTACAATAAAGAAATAATGTCAATTTTGCTCAAAAAGAATAAAATTAAAGAATCAATTTTAAATGTCATTATTATTATTAAATTATTAGTGATACATAGCACTCCATAAAAATCAAAAGAAATCAGTTACACTTTCTCCTAAGTAGTCTAACTCTTGGAAAGTGTGATACATTTGAAGAAGCAAGGCCAGAACATCTTGCTCGAGTAGATACAACTTTGCTTTATTTATCAACTTGACGAGTTTCTTTGAGTCAGTCTCATTTGCACTAATTTCTTGTTCAAGGAAAGGATTGAACCGATAGTATTTGGTACCAACCTCCTTGCACTGGTTAGCAAACTTGCGCGAGACTTCTTCAGAACCACTGACCTAATGAAAAGACAGCAAGATTCATTAATTCGACACCTCAAACTTTGGTAAGTTGCATACATGTAAAATTTGATGTTAACAATACTTTTGTTTCCCCCCCTCTCTCTCTCTGTCTTACTGCGTTCAATAGAAGGTCCAGCATGTTCTTTGGAGTAAATAAACTTGTCGGATTCAAGTTTCCACTGACTTTTTTCTTGGGATTGTGTATGTGTCCGGTCCCCACGGAAACAGCAACAGAGAAGTGAGGCTGCTCCATTGACTTTGTGTCGTGATAATCTCTTATTTTGCTCATGGCAAACTCGCTTGGATTGTTGGCCTTCACTCCTCCATCAACGTAACCATTGAAGGATGTGAAGTACATTGGTGCTGCACTGGTCGCTCTGGCTGCCATCCACACCGGAACTACAGGTAATATACAAGAATATGCAAGAATGTACAAGGGTGTGCAAGAATGTACTTGCAAGGGTTAAAGGTGTACATTATGTCAAACACATGTTAGTTTTATAGTTTTACCGTCATCGTGGCTAAAATTATCAAAAAATTCAACTTCAAGATTTCCCATACTGACAGCCGTTATCATCACCCTGTAATAATAATAAAATTAATAATACATTTAATAATATACTACACATAGTATTATCACTGTACTTTGGTTCTCTGATGTCTTTCATTTTTGTATCTTTGAATATTTCCATCATTACTTTCTCCATTGCCTCCGAACGATTGCCTGCTTGGAAGATTGAGCCACCAAAAACATCCGGAGCTATTTTAATGTACATATCTCTAATATCACTCAGTGTCATGTGACCTGAAGAGAAAACAGTTTGAATGGGATTCAGTTAGTCAGTTATGGTTTTTATAAGCCATATTCTTCCTTTTCTCTTTCTCTTGATCTCTTTATTGTCACTCTTCTTTATCCATTCATTTCATTTCCTCCCTCTTTCCCTCCCTCCCTCCCTCCCCCTCTCTCCCTCTCTCCCTCTCACCATAAACAAGAGCTAATGCTATTATTCCTCCAGTGCTGGTTCCCACTATCCAGTCAAAGAGGTCAATAATCCTTTGTCCAGTCCTTTCCTCAATGTCCATCAATATTTCAATGCTCATGAGTCCTCTCATTCCTCCTCCATCAAGAAACAATATCGAGTTCCCAGGGACTGCCTGACCTACTCTTGTCTTCCGCCATTTGTATACATCACCCAGCTGCATGAAACCAGCAGCTGTTGAAAAAATAATAATAGTATATTAAAAGTAATTTTATGCTAAAAGCTATGTTTATATTTTTGGTCCGCTTAATTGACCCAGGTATTAATTGTCGTACCTGCTTGACTGATGTCGTTATGCTCTTCCTCTTTTAGCATTCTTGTTATTTCATTCTCCATGTCGAGACAGAGTCTGGCCTCCCTCCTCCAGCTCAGGTAGAACCCAATCGTCTCCGGAGCACAAGGCAGGTTTTGACTTAACACACTAAATCCTCTTGGACGTCTGAGGAAGAGAGAGAGAAAGAGTCATAGCAGCTGAATCATTTTTTATTGTCTTACGCCGGTGACATTATCTTCGGTTTTACTGCAAAGCTTTTTATTTTCTCTTTAATTTTTCCTTTAGCGAGGTCAATCGGAGTCTGGTTGTGTGCGTCAAGTGCTGATAGGTCAGCCCCAAATGCTATTAACGTCCTAATTATTAACTTTTCTCCTTTCTATGTAAGAAGAAGATTAAATGTGAGGACATATCTTAAACATGTGAGAAGAAGAAATGAGAGATTTAAATTAAAAGTGAGGAAATCTTATGAGAGAGAGAGAGAGAGATTAAATCTTAAATAATGTTAACAATGAAATTATGTATTTACCCTTGCAGCAATATGCAGAGGTGTATTGAAGTCTCCATCTCTCTCGTCGATCCTCACTCCTTTGCTTGACGTCAGTAGAGCCACTAACAGGTCATTTTTGCTTTTACGCACAAACGTGTGAAGAGGTGTGTCATGATGATGATCGGTGGCATTGGGATCAATTTCAGGATTTGTTAGCATCTTACGGAGATTCTAGAATGAGTGATATGGTGAGATTAAAATTTTAGCTGAAAACTTTAAAGCTGCTACAAAATTTTGCCAAAAATAAAAAATAAAAAATTCTGCATTTCTATAATTTTGTGACAATGGACCAATGGGTTTTTGCTTGTCACAAAATTGGGCAAATTTTGCTAAAAATGATAAGAAAAATTCTCCATTTTAATACTTTTTTTCTTATGCAATCTTCTCAGATATGGAGTAATAATTTACACTGACTCACACTGCATTAACTCAATAATGTAATTTAAAGTTTACTCAACCGGAAAACTATACATAAAGTTATACATACATTCCTACATCCAGTAAACATGTGTAAGTTACAATAATAACAACAATAGTACAACAATGTATAGTAGCATTTCACAACTGCTATAGATGGTTTTGTGATCAATAGACGACAATAAAACAAGTACTTACCTTGATGCTTTTGGCCTTGTGCAGTTCATTTGATTTGGATTTCTGCAATGGCAAGGTCATAAATTTTTTCTCTGTTTCCATCAAAGCTTCTAATTTCTAAGCACAAAGTGAAAATATTAAAATGTCAGCAATTTCTGTTACTTTTTTCTGTGTCTTCTTTTCTTCCTCTTTTCTTGCTAAATCAAGACACAACGTGATTTCTCTTGATTCTGGTCTCATGAGGCGATGCCTGGCTCCTAAACCCTCTGCATTACTAGTCAAACCAGTTACAGTACTGGTTATGGTGCTGGACTGCTTTTGGTATAATAACGCTGTCTGTGGACTTTTAGGAGACTTTCTCTGCAATGGGACAAATTATGAATAACAATAATAGTCGGTTATTTTGAAAATACTAAGTCATTGTAAACAAAACATTCATTGCCAAAATGAAAATAGTAAATAAAAAATAACAACAATAACAACAATATGTAGTGTGATAAACAGGAGCTGATAACAAATAGATAGCATTTATAGATGGTATCACTATTTACAACTTACTCTAATTGGAGGACCAGTATTGGCCGATTGATCACCAGCTGTAACATCATTATTTTTAAATATACCAGATTCTTCGATCCCGTTACTAACCACACTCACAGTGGTTGAGCTGCTGCTGCTGCTTGCTACTAGTGTTGATGGTGCTACGCTAGCTCCATTGGGGATCAGTTTAGTAGGCCTGACAGCTGCAGAGGTTGTGAAACTGCTCATGCTGAACCCAGTCAGTTTTTGAGAGAAATATGGCGAGGATGATAATTTTTCTGCAGCTGCATCTCTTCCCCCATCCATTGCTACTCGTCTTCCATCAGTCTCTATTTCCTCTTCATCAGTCATTGAATCTCTTTCTTCTACTCCATTTGAGCTCTGAAATGTAACTCTCCCTTTTCCATCTACTTCTTCAGTTCCCTGGATATCAGTGATCTGAAAAAAAGATATAAACTTCATTCGTATGGTATGACATGTTTTCTTTACTTCTTCAAAGCCATTTCTAAAATAATCCGGTTCTTCTACAGAAATAAAGTACTCATTTTTATTCTGTACCCAAAAAGAGACAAACATGAATTAAAAAAAAATTAGAGCAATGAATATCATATCATACCTGTCTTACAAAGTCAATATTTAAATTCTGAGTGTCTCCTCCACTGCCTACACTGTTACTGTGCTTCTTGAAATAATGTCTCTTTGGTGGCATATGGAGGAGGTCTGCAACCACTGCTGAGGGTCCATTGTATTTGACCCTTTCCTCTTCTAGTTCTTCCTCTTCCTCTTCTCCGCTGGAGTCTTCAAAGTCGCTGACAGAAAGACAGATCCCAGTAGAGGAACGGCAGCGCCTCAAAGGCAGCTCAGAGTTGTACAAGCTCTCTAGCTCTCTCCAAGGCCTGAGCATTGCTGATGGTGCTAATTGTGATCATACAATAAGGAGGCTGCATGTGATGGCTAATGAGGAGGAGGGGCTAATTATTTTAATTAAAATAATATTTTTTGGAGGTGCTATTTTAAAAACAATAAACATTTTAACAACACAGCATTGCTCTTTTATCTCGCAAAGACGACCATGGCTGCTTGCAAAGACTGGGCCACAGAGCCAGACCAAGAAGTATCAGTAAAAGTAAGAGAAGAGAACTGCTCCTTTTGTTTTGGTCGACTCACTGAAGTTGACCTTTGGTAAACTCATGTATTATTTTCACAGATCTCCCTCTCTGGCCCTGGCTCGCTGCCACCCACCACCGTCTGTGAAGCATTTAAAAAGACTGTCCTTAAATATCCTGGGCATCTGGCCCTCAAAGTAAAGAGAGGCGAGAGTGGGATCTGGAAAAGCTGGACTTACAGAGAATATTATGACAGCGTGAGTGGAGCTGCTAAATCAATGGTAAAGCTTGGACTGGAGGCACATCATGGAGTTGGGATACTTGGATTCAATTCCCCTGAGTGGTTCTTCACTTATATTGGAGCTATCATGGTGAGAGAGAGAGAGGGGGGAGAAGAGAGAGAGGGAGGAATAAACAATGGTAGATCTAAACATGTATTTTTGTTGCTAAATAGAAATGATACCTAGCATTGCTGCTATGAGTTGCGTACACTCTAGCTTCACATAATTTGAAATGAAATTAGAATTTTAGTGATTTAATCAAGAGTATTGAATTATTAATTAATTTAATATTGGGTGTAAGAGCCACAGTTCATGTTATAATTGATTTATTATTTCCAATTATGATATCATTATATCAAATAGGCTGGCGGTATTGCAACAGGCATCTACACTACTAACAACAAAGGTATCGACGATGATATTGCAACAGTTTTTTTGTTATGTGTTCTTTACTGAATTTCATTGTGTTATGCCACTGTTGTGATGTGTTTTCTATCATGTACACACACGAATGTATATAGACTGCATGTACAGTGTACACTATTTATGGCACACATGTACATGTACATTTTAATGCTCTTGTGTTTTTTTCTTTAATGGCTTCTGATTATGTTGGAAACTGTAGCTATTGGCATTTCTTTCTTCTTGACTGAAAATTCTTGTTTTCTGAAGTTGTAGCTTTGATGTTTGTGTATGCATAATTTGGCTATCATGAGTTGTTTTTGTTCTTGTTAATATTTTTGTTGCTGTCTTGTTAATATCTGTTGCCTTTAGAGACGTGTCAGTATATCGCTAAAGATTGCCGTGCTCAAATTTTCTTTTGCGAAAACGAGACTCAAGTGAACAAACTACTAGAAGTAAAGAGAAAAGAAAGGAGACAGAGAGAGAGAAAGAGAGAGAGAGAGAGAGGGATAGAGGTGAAGCAGTACAATATTCATCACTTGTTTATTTAGGCTAAAGACTCGTTGCCAGATTTAAAGGTCATTGTTCAGTATTTGCCTGAATCAGTCCAGCCTGTTTCTCCGAGACACAAAGAAGCTGGTGTACTCTCTTGGGATCAATTCATTGATTGTGGAAAAGTAAAATAAAAGACAAACACTTCATGTCAAAACACCCTCATGTTAAAAATAAACCAATCCTTTCATGAAGTTTTTGTGTGTGCTTTTAGCTTTCAATGGTTTGTTTATTGCTAATAAATGATGTACTGTACTTTTTAATGTAGTATTCAGCTTCAATCCTTTAGTATACATGCATGCTAGTGTTGGTATTGTTGATCAGGATCATATTTATGATAGGATGTACCAGCTCCAATCCTTAGTGTATATATGTAATGCATGCTGTAAAAATATAGTGCTTGTATTATTGATCATGTGAATATAGGATGTACCAGATTATGAGCTAAAGTGGAGGATAGAGGCCCAGAAGCCAGGACACTGTGCATCACTTGTTTATACATCAGGGACTACTGGATCTCCAAAAGTATCCAAATATGTAATAATAGGATTAGGATCACCCTCCTCTCTCTCTCTTCTCTTCTCTTTTAGGGTGTCATGTTAAGTCATGATAATCTAACATGGTGTGGTCTTGTAGTTGCTAAAAGATACGACTTTAATGAGGTATTCATGGACATAGAAACACTCTTTTGATTATATTTTTGTACAGAATTTTCGTATTATTAGCTATTTGCCATTGAGTCACATAGCAGCTCAGATGATTGACATAATGGCTGCAGTAATGATTGGACATACAGTGTGGTTTGCCCAACCTGATGCACTGAAAGGAACAATCAAGAGTACATTACTGGTAATGGAAGAGGAGGGAGAGAGAGAGTGAGAGAGAAAGAGAGAGAAAGATACGGTAGGTTGTTTAGCTAAACTTGTTTAACACTCACATGGAATTGTTTATCACCTAAGTGTGTAATAACACGGGGATCAATTTCACTTTTACTATTATTATTATTATTATTATCATTAGTATTATTATTATTATTTATTGTTATGTTATTGATGTTATTATTATCAGGAGGTCCAGCCAACACTCTTCTTTGCCGTCCCAAGAGTTTGGGAAAAATTTAAGGAAGTGATCGAGAGAGAAACTAGTGAGATTTCAGGACTAAAAGGATTTATACTGGAGAAGTCAAAAGTAAAATAAGATCCTTATCTCTTTGGTAATGTGCATGTACATATATGTATTGCATTCAGAGTATTGGCAAGAAAACTCAGTTAAAGAGACAAGTGGGTGGAGATGTTTCATGGGGTCATTGGATTGCTGAAAAGTAATTACCGTATGCTCAATGAAAGAATAATTTTTACTCTTGACTACTCATGTAGAGCTGTTTTCAAAGGACTTAGGAGCAAGATGGGTTTAAACAACTGCATCATGATGGTAAGAATCAATTACAATTTAACGACATCTCTTATCTTTTAATTTCTATCTTTTTCTTCTCTCTCTTTCACCTCCTGCAGGCAACAGGGGCTGCTCCATTACCGAGAGCAGTGGCCGAGTTTTTTGCTCAGTTTGACATCACACTCTGTCAGATGTATGGGATGAGTGAAACCACAGGAACTGGCTGCATCAACAGTCCGAGTGAGTGGAGAGTGTGTACATATAGATGAAGCCATACAATGAACCAAAGCTCCTTCAATTAAATGCATTCATGTACTATTTTCTTTCCATAGCTTGTTTCAGGCCATTCTCAGTTGGTCAGGTAGCCCCTGGTACAGAGGTAAAGCTGGATAGTCCTGGTCCTAATAGAGATGGGGAGATATGCCTCAGAGGAAGGAACGTGTTTATGGGGTACTTGCACGAAGAGGCAAAGATGAAGGAAATATTTGATGAAGAGGGCTGGCTTCATTCAGGAGACATTGGCAGTGTAGATAAAGATGGTCAGCAAAATACAAACAAAGAGCTATCTAAAGTGATGATTGTCCTTTTCTCTTATTAGGTTTTTATTATATAACCGGACGCTTAAAGGAAATGATAATAACGAAAGGAGGAGAGAATGTAGCACCAGTACCAATTGAAGAAGTAAAATCAATCGTCATTCTTGTGTATGTGATGCTTTTTATGCAGAAAATGTTAAAGACAGTGAGATTATTAAGTAATGCAATGGTCATTGGCGATGATCAACAATTTTTAACAATTTTTGTAACTATAAAGTGTAAGGTATGTCGATAACATAATACCAAACTCATTTATAGCTTGAGGATAATCCAATTATTGTTGATATTAGTTTGATGAATCGAATAATCCAACTGATGAACTTGATCCAATTGCTAAAGGAATACTGCATGATATTGGATCAGAATCCACCACTGGTGAGAGAGAAACTAAAGAGAGAGATAGGTTGAGAGAGAAGATTTTAATAAAGGAGAGAACAAATGACAACACTTTGTTTTCATTATAGTATCAGAGGTGCTAACAGATCCATTAGTGAAGCAGTACATACAGCAAGGCATTGATAAAGTGAATGAAGAAGCAATAAGCAGAGCAGCACGCATTCAGGTTGGTTTATGATGTAGTGTAGTATGTGAGTGATTTAATGGTTTTGATTTGTTGTAGAAATTTACAATACTGCCAGTTGATTTCAGCATCAATGGTGGAGAATATACGGCGACGCTTAAAGTTAAAAGAAGAGTTATAATTGAGAAATATCATGAACATATTACACACATGTACTCTACTGCTAATAGTAATGGGGCAACTGTCCAGTGATTTATGTCAGTATATTTAGATTTATTGATCATTAGTTACTGTATTGGACCTTCAAGCACATGAAAAGCATAATGCATATTTAGATCTACCACAAAATTATAATTCCAGTCCAGCCCACTTCTCTGTGTCCTTTCTGCCTCGTTGGGTTTGACAGCTGACTCCCTGATGATTATCTTCATTGTGACGGTAATAATTCGATTCTTTGAGTTGCTGTTTGTGATCCAGATACTCTTATTTGTAACAGCAGCACTATTGGCAGTGTCACGGTTATTGTTATTTTACCTGGTCCTCCATGAGGGAGCGAGAAGGTTAGTGGACAGACAGGTAGCCGCCATACTCCAACCAGATGAAAAGGATAATTCATCAGACGAGACTATAATCCTCTTTGTCAGAAACTTTTTGACCAGTGGGGCTAAGCCTTTAGTTATACAAGCTAAAAGATCTGATACTATTGAAAGTGTCAAACAAAAGATTGTGGATAGACTAGACACACAGCAAACAAGTCCCACAGATCAAAAACAGATTATGCTTTTTAATGGCAGGCATAAAATGTTGATTTATGAAGAGAAAACACTTTCAAATTACAATATTAAAAATGAGGATACAATTCGTTTATGTCGTGTGGCTCATGTCAAGAGAGGTTTCATGTTAATTCATGTAAAAACTCTAACTGGTAAAGAAATTAATCTCATAGCTGAGCCTTTTGTTACTGTTGAGAAGGTTATGGAAAAGATACAGGATATAGAAGGGATCCCGCCTGATCAACAGAGACTCATATATGTTGGTAAGCAGTTAGAAAATTGTCGTATCATTTCTGATTATTTTATTAAGAATGGAAGTGTACTACATTTAGTACTTCGTCTTCGAGGTGGCGGCTTGACAATACTTGTAAATGTGTTTGGTATGGGAGTACTTCATTTTTCAGCTGGAACTCCAGACACTATTATGAGTATTAAAGAGCAGATAGAAAAAAAAATTAAAATCTCACCGTACTACCAAACACTTATATTTTCTGGTATGAAAATGGAAGATGACCTTACACTTGCAGATTACAACATTCTTCAAAGTGGATACATTTTATACTTGGAACTTTGCCTTGACCTTAACAAGATTGATGTTGTAACTCCTGATGGTGTATCATTTACTTATAGAATTGAACCTTCCGACACTGTTGAGAATGTTAAAGCAAAGATACTGTATATTGGTACAAATGGAGTTCCACGTGATCAACTAATGCTCTCATTTGATGGTAGAATATTGGAAAATGACAAAACACTCCTAGATTATAATATTCACAAGGAAAATCATTTGTATTTAATTTTTCCTTCGCAACCTGATTGTAACACGATAAATGTTGCAACCCCAACTGGTGAAACAATTACTGTTGTATATAATCCTTCTGATACTATCAAGAATGTTAAATCAAAGATACAAGATAAAGGAGGAATCTTATCGTATCGTCAGGTGCTTACTTTTTATAAGGAGTTGGATGATCTTCAAACAATTTCAGAGTGCAGAATTAAAAGAGGGCATACAATCTACCTATCTCTTCTGCCAACTAAGATTTACTTAAAGTTTCTAGAAGAATCATATGATTTATCTCACATTCAAGAAGACACAACTATAAAGAGTATTAAAGAGAAAGCTAGTGCATTCACCAACATACCAATCGAACAGCTATTGCTTTTTTTAGATGGTCATCCAATATATGATAACTCTAAGCAAATCAAGGGTTTTTATAGATTGCTATTTGAGTTTGAAGTACAACTTAATGAACACTCTATTGCTAGCATTACTGTTGCACTCACTGTAGGCGTAAGAAGAACTTATCAAGTGGCCTTGGGAGCTCGAGTAGGAGATTTGAAAGGGCTAATCGAAGAATCAACTGAAATACCAGTCTCTAAACAATTGCTTTATGATGCATCTATTCAGCATGTTTTATGGAATGAAGCACCGTTGTACCAGTATTATATCCGTGGTGTTCAAACAAATAATGTCTGCATTGATCTTTTTGTTCCATTGACTGTTCACGTATCAATACCTTCAAAAAGCGCTGTTGTTGAAGAGTCTATACTTTTAGACGAAAGAGTTTTTGACTTAAAGAAGAGGCTTTGTATTCAACATGGTTTGAATTTGTCATACGTGACATTAACTTACAACCAATCGATAATGAGTGATGACAAGTTTCTTGGAGACTATCAAATACATGATGATGATGCAATGCTGGAGCTAAGTTTAGGTAATATTATAGTTTTATTATTATCATTAATTATATATTGCTGTTAGGTACGACTCTTCCTACCCCTCCTTCTGATGTATCTTTTCACCCTCCTGTTGCCAATCTTTCTCCTGCTGCTGATCCTCCTCCTCCTCCTCAGCTTCATTGGATTAACAGACATAGTGATCTTATGAAAGATGTTGCTGCTCAAGCTCCTGATCAATGGAGGAACATTGGCACAATGCTTGATATTCATTTTTCACAATTGAATTCTTTCAGAGATCAGTTTAATGCTGATCCAATGGCCTGCTATAGTGCTGTTTTTCAATATTGGCAAACCAGCATAAGGAATCATCCTTTCACTTGGAATACTATTGTGGAGGTACTGGAATCAGATGTTGTTCTAAGACGTGATCTTGCTGCAAAAATTAGAGAAAAATACTTGTGAACTGTTTTTTTGCTAATGTTTTATTATTTTCATTATTAGTAAACAACATTACTGATGCTAAAGACTGCTTGCACTGGAGCAGTCAATAAAATGCGACTTTTGTGCATGCAGAGATCAATAAACACGAAAATTTATTAAAATCACACTGATAATTAACAACAACAAAAAAAGATTAAAAGACAGGCAGCAACACAAACAATGATTAGTCCAATAGTTCCAAAAACTGATCCAAGGACAATAGCAATGATACGATCACGGTCAGTAACTAATGAAAGAAAATTGATATCATTACTAACATTCTAAAACTATAGTAATGTAACACTATACCCAGATCTAGTACTATGAGTGTATAAACACTTGTATAATTGCAATACAGAAATTACAAGAGTTAATCAAAAGTTGTTTAAATTTGCTGTAGTTTTTGGAAAGACATTTTCTGCTATGTTAGGACTTACGGTAAAATATTTTATAACAGACTAAAAATTTTAATTATCACACAAAGAGATTATATAAATGATTAATCAAGACAAAATTTTCTGATGACAGTAACAGTAAGAACACAAGCAAGAATCAATCCAATAGTTCCAAAAACTGATCCAAGGACAATAGCAGTGACACGATCACGTGCAGTAACTATTAGAAAAAATTGATATCATTACTAGCATTCCATACTATAGTGCTTATATAGATCTGTAGTAGATCTACTATGATTAATATAATGAGTGGATGCTTTGATTAATGCAGGGATTGCTACAATACTTTTACCAGTGATTAGAAAGATAAAACATGGAAAATTATAAGTAATAATTCATTCAGTTTCATAATACAACTAAGTGTGTAGTGTTATTCATTTTTCATCCGATGCCGCAAGAAAAGGAGTAATAAAAAAATAATAACAATAAATGCAATTGCTCCAAAAATTGGTCCAATAATAGTACCAATGATCTTGTCAAGATGCGTGACTATAGAAAATGCAAGAAATATTGATAAGAATAACAAGATGAAACTCTGTGCTAAGAATTCAGCTCCATGAAATTATAATTTAGACCTCAGGGCAATAGAGCTTGCATGCAAAAAGAAGCAAAAGCCACTGGTAAAGTGTTATGAAACCATTTAATTTACAGTCATAGTACTTATCGTGGGAGCAGTAGTTAATGTTTTAGAGAAACTTACAGTCGCATTCATCTCTTGTGCCAGCATCTTCTTTCTCCTTTTCATCAAAATCTAATCAAAATAAAAAACAGTATTTCATCTTGTTTTGAATGGAGAAAACATGCAATAGAATTAATCAATTATTTACCACATTCTATTGTAACATCATCATCATGAGAACAAATTATATCGATCCTTTTTCTTCTCTTTGCACCATCATCATTACAATAACAAGAATCAATGCAGTCAGTGCTGCTTGAACAACATGTATACTGAGTGGTTCTTCCATGAACACCCTCCCTAAGAAAGAGAGAGGGAAAGAGAGTAAAAAAGAAAGCATACAAAGAAAAGAATGTGGCAAAATCAATTACCAACATGTTATAATACGTCTCATAAACACTGTTACACTTTAAACTAACATGTCTGAGATGTGGTTATATTTAAGTGCGTATGTATATCCCAGTTGTCTGCAAGCAGTGTTAGCCTCTCCCTCTCCAAACCCATTGTCACATAAAGTGTCCCAGTCACCTGACAGGTATATCTCCAGTCGTCCCATTGATGGGTATCTACTGGGTATTATACGTAGGTGCTCTTGATGGGGATCGGTCCATACTGGTGTTGAGCCTAAAATTAAATGAGTTCATTTTGTAGCTGTTGCTTTAAACTATATTGATGCATGCATGAATGAATGAATGAATGAATGAGTGTGGTACTCACTGCATGCGACTGATACATCGTTGCGATCATCACAGCTAAAGGTCTCTTCGTATGAGCATTGGAATATATGCAGATTGTTATTAGCACAGGATACATTAGCAAGTAATGTAGGATGATCATCTATACCATATCTAGAGAGGAAAGTGCATATGACATAACTTCCTTTTGTCGAGGTTTAAAGATTAAAGTTCAATAATAATTGTTGTATGGCTTGGATTGGAACGAAAAAGATACAATAATTACCAGATTAGTCTTTAATGCACACTGTCTGATTGTATCAGAATCATAAATTAATATCTACTTGACTTAATGCTTACGAATCAACTGCTGCGAATGAGTGGTTATCAGCTGAATCATAGCCCAACTGGTGACAGATCACGTTAGCTTCATAGCTACCAAACCCAGTATTGCATATGTTGCTCCACTGTCCCTTGTAGTATACCTGGACACGACCAGAGGTATATGAACCTGTTGCTAACCCGTTAACTGCTAGACGAACCTCACCATTAGACTGGCCTAGCACTAAAAGACAATAAAACTGGTGTTTATTATTAGAATGCTCTTACCTGTAACTGCTGAAAGAGAGAGGAGGAGAGAGAAAAGAGGGAGAGCTTTTAATCTACTCATTTTTGATGTAGACTACACCGGCTACAAGCAGCTTGTACTGTTACGGGCACAGAGAAATAAATTGCCTAGCCCCCACCCAATGCCAAGCCACACCTTATATCACAGACTAAAAATTATTATTACAATCACAGGCTAAAAATTATTATTATTATTATAATAACACAAAGAGCTGGTATAAAAAATGATTAACTAAGACAAAATGTTTTGACGACAAAAATACCAATACCAACAGCAATAATTAGTCCAATAATTCCAGCAATTGTTCCGGCAACAATAGCAACGACACGATCACGTGCAGTAACTAATAAAAGAAAATTGATATCATTACTAACAACGTTTCAATACTAGAGTACATATACTATAATTAAATATAATGAGTGGTCATGCAAAAATTAATAGTTATTGGTATAATAATAATAAAACATAAAAAATAACAACAGTTTTGTTTGTACATAAAGAATTTTATGTGTCAGATTTATTAATTTTTCATTTGATGCCGCCAAGAAAAGAAATGCCAAGTAAATAATAAAAATAAATGCAATTGCTCAAAAATTAGTCCAACAAACAACAATAGTATGAATGATCTGGTCAAGATGCATGACTATAGAAAATGCAAGAAATATTGATAAGAATAACAAGATGAAACTGTGCTAAGAATTCAGCTCAATAAAATATAGTTTAGACCTCAGAGCAAGAGCTCACATGCAAGAAGAAGCAAAAGCCACTGGTAAAGTGCTATGAAACGCTTTAATTTACAATCAGAGTACTTATCGTGAGAGCAATAGTTAATGTTTTAGAGAAACTTACAGTCGCATTCATCTCTTGTGCCAGCATCTTCTTTCTCCTTTTCATCAAAATCTAATCAAAATAAAAAAAACAGTATTTTACCTGGCATTAAATGGAGAAAATATGCAATAGAATTAATCAATTATTTACCACATTCTATTGTAACATCATCATCATGAGTACAAATTAAATCGATCCTTTTTCTTCTCTTTGTAGTGTCGACTGTGTCGTCGTCGTCTTGACAATAGCAAGACTCAATGCAATCAGTGCTGCTTGAACAACACGTGTACTGAGTGGTTCTTCCACCAGTACCTTCCCTAAAAAAGAGAGAGGAAAAGAGAGTAAAAAAGAAAGTATACAAAAAAAGAACATGGCAAAATCAATTACGTATTATACGTCTCATAAACACTGTTACACTTTAAACTAACATGTCTGAGATGTGGTTATAATCAAGTGCATATGTATATCCCAGTTGTCTGCAAGCAGTGTTAGCCTCTCCCTCTCCGAACCCATTGTCACATAAAGTGTCCCAGTCACCTGACAGGTATATCTCCAGTCGTCCCATTGAAGGGTATCTACTGGGTATTATACGTAGGTGCTCTTGATGAGGATCGGTCCATACTGGTGTTGAGCCTAAAATTAAATGAGTTTATTTTGTAGCTGCTGCTTGAAGCCATATTGATGCAGCATGAATGAATGAATGAATGAATGAATGAATGAGTGTGGTACTCACTGCATGCGACTGATACGTCGTTGAGATCATCACAGTTAAAGGTCTCTTCATATGAGCATTGGAATATATGCAGATTGTTATTAGCACAGGATACATTAGCAAGTAATGTAGGATGATCATCTATACCATATCTAGAGAGGAAAGTGCAAATGACATACCTTCCCTTTGTTGAGGATTCAAGATCAAATTAAATTCAATTAATGGATTGGAACAAAAAGATACAATAATTATCAGATTAGCTTTTAATGGACATAGTCTGATTTATCAGAATCATAAACTCGATTCAATGCTTACGAATCAACTGATGCAAATGAGTGGTTATCAGCTGAATCATAGCCCAACTGGTGACAGATCACGTTAGCTTCATAGCTACCAAACCCAGTATTGCATATGTTGCTCCACTGTCCCTTGTAGTATACCTGGACACGACCAGAGGTATATGAACCTGTTGCTAACCCGTTAACTGCTAGACGAACCTCACCATTAGACTGGCCTAGCACTAAAAGACAATAAAACTGGTGTTTATTATTAGAATGCTCTTACCTGTAACTGCTGAAAGAGAGAGGAGGAGAGAGAAAAGAGAGAGAGCTTTTAATCGACTCATTTTGGTGTAGACTGGCTGCAAGCAGTTTCTACAACTGTAAAAGGGCACAAAAATGAAAATAATTTGCAAGCTTGCTTCCTAGCCCCACCCAACATTAAGCCACACCTTCTACCACACCCAATAGATTAACATCACGTGATGTGTTTAAAAAATCATGTGATACTGAACCCCACCCATCCAGTTATTATTTTTTCAGGTGGTGAACAGTAGAAGGAGGCACGTTCCCTTCTGAAGCACAAGTCTTTGGGTGTATTTGTATATTTTTTAGCTCACAAGTGCCTTACTCTATGAGAGGGCCATGTCTGGAGCCAACAGTACCAATGGAAGTGGAAAGAAAGGTAGTAATATACTGAGTTATGCATGATACAACTTCTTACTTATTTCCATCAAAGAGTTGGCTTTCATTGTTGGTGGGTTCTTTCCTGGTAGAGAAGGCCGTGAGAGGATGGTTGCTCCGTACGCCATCGATAAGGAGCTGATCGGTGATCCTGTCTTCTCAGAGTTTGCTAGAGCTGCCTGCCCTTTTATGATGCCTGGGATCTACCCACAAGACCCTGACGTAAATAAATAAATAAATAAATTAATAATGGGTTTTAAGAGTATTATGAAGGGTTTTCTGTAATTAGCCCCACCCTGTTATTGTGTATGCCACGCTCTCTTTAAGATAGTAAATAAACATGTGATGACATACAAGTGTGTTAATGAGTGTGTTATTTTAATATTTTAATTATCGTTTTATCTCTCTCCAGCTTGCTGTCAGTACTGGGTATAGAATGAAAGAGACGGGCCACCAGGCTTTTAAAGAAGGCGATTACAAGTTGGCCGCCACTAAATACAACTATAGTGTCCAGCTGTTTCAGTTTGTGTTGAAGATATTTCCGTATGTTGCACACGAGGTTCTGTTACTTCATAACAGTCTTTCTGCTTGCTATTATAAAATGAAAGACTATGAGAAAGCCCTGGCCTCTGCTAACACTTGTATAGAATTGGATAATAAAGAGATCAAGGTACAGTACATCTGTATAATGGTGTTATTGTTAGTATTATTTTTATCGTAATAGTCTTAGTGTTATTGCTATTACATACATGTATATGATAGTTATTAGTTGGCCAAATTATTGAGCTACTTTAAAAATTTGTAAAAAATCTAAATTGAATCGGAATCAGCTCAAACTTTATATATAGCATAAGAACATGTATATGTATCAGAAAAAATTATAAAAATGAAGAATTCTCTCCTTTTCATTTTTGGCAAAATTTTGCTGATGACCCTGTACTATAGTACAGGGACTTTGACCTGATTTTGGAGCAACTTTAAAAATTCATAAAAAATCCAAATTTGATCGGAATCAGCTCAAACTTTATATATAGCATAAGAACATGTATTTGTATCAGAAAAAAATTATAAAATGAAGAATTTTCTCCTTTTCATTTTTGGCAAAATTTGGCCGATGACCCTGTACTATAGTACAGGGACTTTGGCCTGATTTTAGAGCAACTTTAAAAATTCATAAAAAAATCCACATTTGATTGGAATCAGCTCAAACTTTAAAAACAACATAAGAACATGTATATGCATCAGAAAAAAATTATAAAAATGAAGACTACTCTCCTTTTCATTTTTGATGAAATACCATGTACATGTACATGTACATACAGAGTGCATAGTTCCCTCAATTTATGCATCTCTTCTATCTCTTCTCTCCTTTGCCTCTTGCAGGGTTTTTACAGACGTGCCGAGGCCTCTCTAGGTCTTGCTGACGTTGGTTCTTCTGAAGGTAAAGACGTCACTAAGCTTTACGAGGAGGCCTTGGGGGATTTCTGTAAATGTTACTACACGATGACAATGGAGAGTGATAAAGGAGCTAGAGTCCAGCAGTTCTGTGATGCAATGATAATAGCAATTAATTTGAGTAAGGATTGGTACAAAATTTAAATTTTTATGCTTAAAAAACTAGAAATACATATGCGAATATTCATTTTATTGTCATTTTTGCATTTATTTGTTCCTCCTTTCCTTTTATTTTTCAGATTTAACTGAAAACCTTCCTGATTTCCACGAGTTTGACAAAGACTCGTTCTGTGGCCCTCTCATTCTCTACCTACTCAACAACTACTCGAAAGAGAAGATTGAGAAAGCGCTTCAATTCCTCTTCTTCCCCTCTCCGAGTATAGAAAAGAGTGGCCTAGCGTTTAAGTATCCTTGCGATGTCTCCTCTCTCTCTGTGTGTCTCGTGTATACTCGTGGTGTATTAACTGAGCCAATATTGGACATGCTAGTACAGTGTAACCTCCAAGTCAAGCAGACTGACGTTGTGCAGTTAGTCTCGGCTCTACAAGAATCAGAGCTGTCCTTGTTCCAACGTCTTGTCTCAATATGTGAAGCTCAGTCCACCACAAGCTGTGAGTCGGCATTCTCTCATTTACTCGATCGGTCCCTCCTCTCAAAGAACCGAACCTTTGCTACTTACTTGATCTCAAAGGGAGTGACTCCGACACGTCTCTCGTCTGCACTTGCCTTTGAAATGCTAATGGAGTTCAACTCATCCCAAAACGAGGACATTATAAAGATTGCCAATGCTTGTAGTCCAGACGTTCGGGCGGAGTTTGCCGCCAAGAGTCTCGCCATGTCAAACCTACAGCTGTTTCATGAGATACTCGATACCGGCCCCTTGCATTCTTGCTACATTGACATCAGTACCTTTATATGCTCTCCTCTAATGAACGAGGAAATGAAGTACCTCAATAGGTTTCTTGATACAGGGGCATGTCCGAACGGGATGGTCGGGAGTACCTCGCCTATGGTTGCCATATTCCAGGGTAACACATTGAATCGGGAGACTCCAGTTCCACTGAGTCGTGAGACCCAGGTCCTGCTAGTGGTGATCCTAATTGAGAGAGGTGCTTCTGTTATTAACCTCACTGGGGCCTTCCCTGACCCCATGAGCCCTGTACATGTGGCTACCAAACTGGTTTTAGAAACAAGTAAAGCTTGATAATTGATTGCTTCCTTCTTTACCCTCCCTCCCTCTCTCTCTCCCCCCCTCTCTCTCTCCCCCTCTCTCTCTCCCCCCTCTCTCTCTCTTTTAAAGAGATCATGAAGCTCCTCCATTTAGTCTGTGAGAGGTTTGACTTCCCTTCTAATGGTAGGATAGTGGACAAGCACAACAGGACTCCACTCCACATTGTAATGATCACTGAACCAACTCTACTCAGTCTTGAGGTATGAGCATGAAAATATGCCTGTACTTAGTACTTTAGTGAATGTAGCAAGCAATCTAAATTAAAATTTATAACATCATTAATATCAATTAACCTCAGAATATATGCACATTACTGCTTATAATTTAATTTATTTTTGCAGTAATTTATTTATTATTTATTTGTGCAGATTTTGGAAGTCCTTGTGAAGTATAACATTGACAAGAGCATCAAGGACGATCAGGGGAAGAGGGCGGAGGATTACACGAGACCACAGCTGGATGAGAAGAGAAGAGCACTCGTCTCTGTAAGACCACCGGCTAAAGTAAAGGAGCTCAAAGATAAAGAAGGAGGAGGAGCAGTGACTGGAGACAAAGGAGGTGAGATAGCATGCATTATAATTAATTAAGGGCATTTTTTAAATTTTTATTGTTGTTGTTGTTGTTCACAGGTTTACCTTGGAGGTATAAAGAGTATAATTTTGACGACGAGGACATCTCATCCGACGAGGAGACAGGCAGTGGTCGGAGAGGAGGGAGGAAGAAGTGGGAAATGAGGTACCTCAAAATGGCCAAGTCGGGCAGGCCACCGTGGAGCTGTGACATGAGTTTATTTCCACCATCAACCTCTTATGAGGTACCTATACATGTACCTATACCATAAAATGTGTATCACTTTTTATAAATGTACATGTACATGTACACGTACATGTACATGTAGCTATTATTACGTTGATATTTGCCTCTTTTTTCTTACACTAGAAAGCTCTTGCCATAGCAAGGGAACAGAAGGAGCGTGGTAACAGTCTCTTTGGAGACAAGAAATATTCCGAGGCTCTGCAAATGTACGGGAAGAGTCACATGACGTACGACTGGATATGTGTCAATCATCCTCGTAAACTATCGGCAGTCAAAGACGACATAAAAGTCCTCGTCTGTAACATGGCACTAGGATACCACAGGAGCTCCGTTCCTGAAGCTTCCGTTGAGTGCTGTAACGATGCAATAGATATCGACCCCACCTACTACAAGGTATGAACCACACCCCTTAATTAACATCTATATAGTGGTAATATTTTTTTGTAATTAAAAAATTTTTTTTCTCACTTGAATTGATTAATCACGCCCACCATGGCCTAATTAACCACGCCCATCATTATACTTTTTTAGGCATATTATAGACGGGCTGAAGCTTACAAGTATATAGCGAAAGAGAGGACACATCAAACGAGACGGGATTACAATTTTGAGTGTTACTGTCTAGCGGTAAAGGACTATGCTCGGGCGTACAAGTACTCTACTGCCACAAATGAGACCAGTAAAAGGGCAGACATGTTTTATGAGTGTATGGTAATAGCACTGGACGTAGGTAAGTGGAGGGGGAGGGAGAAAGGATGTACTTGTACAGCGTAGCCCTTGGTTTCTTGCAGGATTTTGGCATTCTTGTCAGTGGATTGTCAAGTTGCTTAAAAATTGGGCCAAAGTCCCTGTACTATAGTACAGGGTGTTTGGCCAAATTTCACCAAAAATGAAAAGGAGAGAAATTCTCCACTTTTATAATTTTATCTGATGCATATACATGTTCTTATGTTGTATAGAAAGTTTGAGCCCATCCTGATCAAATTTGGATTTTTTATGTATTTTTCATTATGTTACAGATCACACTAAGTTCCTTCCGTCCATTCATGACTGCGATAAGTCTCAGCTCCTCACTAAAGTGGTTGAGCTCCTCGTCAAGAACAGAGAGAAACAAAGCAAAGAACTCTCCCTCTACCTGGACTATCTTCTCTTAAAAACCTCTCATATACCTAATGCCGGCCTAGCTCAGTCTTATCCCTGCTCCTGCTCCTCAGTTCCTTTAGTTCATGTCCTGCCTAATGTACAGATTGACTTGTATAGGGCGCTACTAATGAAAGGTTGTACAGTGACTCAGGATGATATTGTGGCTCTGATACGTGTACTTAAGAAGAGCCAGGGACAGCTTTTAAAGGTACATATACACTGTAGTGTTTATTTTTTAAAACATGATTTATAGAATTGTTTTTGTAGATTACATGTACAGTAGATTTAGTATACATGTACATGTGTATGTTTTTTGTACATGTACATTTTATGTTAGCTGTGCTTTATGTCTCATTTTTCTCTCTCAAGCTTCTACTGGACTCCTTCATGAAAGACAGAGATGACATACAATCCTCGCTCACTTCAATTTGTGTTCAGATACTCAGTACGAAAAAGATCCCGTTCATCTCGACCCTCGTTAAAAATGGGGCCACACCCCCTTCGGAGAGCATTCTGGAACATTCCGACTTTTTCAAACTTGACTCTGTCCTCTCCAAATACGTGTCAAACGCCTGCAAGCCGGAGAGTCGCACTAAGTTATTTTGTAGTGTCCTTCAGTCTGGGGGTACTAAAGAGAGCATTGATGTATTGCTACAATCTGGTCCTGTCCTCATCCAAGAAATAGACCTCTCGGCCATTATCACTTCAAGCCTGCTCCTCCATCATACAGAAATACTCAAGGAGCTTTACTCAATCACTCCTCCCTCTGACCTCCCTGTCACCTCTTCTGCTTCTAAAGCTCTCAGTGTCCTCTTGGGGTCTAAGCTCCCATCTCAGCTACAGCAGGCACAGCTTGCTGACTCCCTCATCAGGCTTGGTGCTAATATCAGCGGCCTGCCTCAGGCTTACAGCGAGCCTCTCAGTCCTGTTCATGCTGCCACTAAACTCGCTTTAGAAACAGGTCAGTCTAGTAGTACATGTACTTGTATTTGGTTTATGTACATGTACTTGTGTATGTGCTAATTAATATATTATTTTTTGGGTTTTTTTTGTGGTTTTTGTTTACATTTTTCTCTCCTCTAGGACATGTTGATTTAGTTCATACTGTGTGTACAAGGTATGCATTTGATGGTCAAGTTAAACTGATTGATAGGAACACACAGACTCCTCTCCATTATGTAATGAGATCCAAACACAATGAGAAATCCATCAAAGTAAATTAATAAGCTATTGATATGCTATTAAACTATTAGTCATTTGCAATATACAGAAATGTTTCATGATACCGTAATTTGCCTTTTTTTCGTACAAAAATTTTTCGTTTCAGAAAAATTCAAGTGGAAATATTTTCGTCTTCTCATAGTGTACGAAAATTTTTACAGTCTGAAAATTTAGCTTCTCTTGCATATACCTTGTCCTTTACCTACTGGTAACAAGGCCGCTATAGTAGTGTTTATAATTCTTGAGATAAGAGGTTCTTGACCTGGCTGTTCCCCCCGACATTACTAGTATACGGATAGTACTGGAGATGCAGCAATGACCAATTTACGGATAATAAACGGAAACATTAAATGGCTACTTTTGTCACATGGTGGACCGTTTTATTTTATAACTCAGTAGTGAAGCAACTGATTGAAGTACAGCAAGCACCAGTGGATAGAGCAAGGTTGAAGCTGCAAGAAGATACCTACTTATCAGGCCGTACCTTAGTCTTTCTTTGATGAATTAGGTCATAAATTTTGGTTGCTCAAAAATTTTCGATTGAAATATTTTCGTCATTTTAGGACCATACGAAAATATTTCCACAACGAAAAAAAGGCAAATTACGGTATACATGTACATGTGTACATTGTATTTTCTTTCTTTCCTTTTTTAGATTTGTCAGTATTTGTGTGACTATCCGATCGACCCACAGATTAAGGACAGGTGGGGAAAAGCAGCTCAAGAATACGGGAAGAAAGAAGGCGATAAAAGATTGACCTACCTTCACAGAGCTGCTGTATTAACCGGCCGCCATACACCTACACCAGAGGCACCAGAAACTGGAGCTGCTGAAAGTGCTCCTAACATGAATGAAAATGTTGTGAATGAAGCTATTAGTAGCAGTAATCCACCACCCCCACAGAGTGAAGGTGGTAAAGGTCGTAAGAATAAGAAAAAGAAGAAGAACAAAGGAGGTAATGCTGCTAGTAGCAGTGATAAGACCACACACGATAACAAGAGTGTTCCACTGGTTAACGGTACAGTGGACAATGGTACAGTGGATAATGGGAGAGACTCACCGGTCACTCCGGAAGAGAAAGTACATGTACATGTACCAGTATCGGCCACTGAGGCTTCAGAGACTCAGCCATCTTGTCCTAGTCTAAAGACGCTTCTTTCTGTCCTGAACGAGAAAGGAAGCGAGTATTTCACATTACAGATAGATCTGACTGACCCTTCGGAAGACGCTGCTGTTGATCAACACGAGTCTTCATTCAGTGGTACTGATGCCATCGTCGTGGAGTCTGACTATATCACACAAGAAGATAAGCTCAGTCTAAGCAATGGAGTAGCAGCGGATGAGGTTTTTAAAATTGATTTTGATAACCTCCCGTGGGAAGTTGAGGTCACAGATAGAGTCCTCCTCTTTTTAAAAGACCCAGCCTATTCTAAGGTTTTAAAAATCTCCGTGATAAGTCGACTGCAAGAGCTCGCCAGAGGGTGTCTGAGTGACGGCAAGACTCTCTCATGCTCCGCCCAGTTGTATAAAACCAGTCTGACCGGTTTATCCTGTATAATGTGGGAAAAAGCCATTCAGTTCTCGTCGCGTTGCACGGACAAGACAGAAAGAGAAGATTCGAGCCATGTTTACTCGGAGGTCATCCGTGTATGGGATGTTATTCCAAATAAAGAGCACCTCACGTGTCTGCAGCAAATAGAGCGATCCCACCAGAGAGGCCTTCAGTCTCACCTCTGCTTCCCCTTGTTACCCTCGGAGGAGGACGGGGGACGTTCCCCTCATTCTCATTTACCGCGTCACTTCCTTATCTTTAAAGACCATAATCCCGCCCATGACGACTCTGTTGCCATGGTAACGTACATCCCACCCGCCAGAGTGAAAGAGGATGAGTATAATGTTGTCACTTTTTATTCGCTGACCTCGTCTGTTGTCCAGAGCGTTATTAACGGGTACCGCCCCCGCAGGGACTTTCCTTTTAAGGAGTGGCCAAAGGAACATGACATTATTCATCTCCCTAGCAACGGGGAGGCTATCCTGTTGCTAGGGAGGAGTGGAACGGGTAAGACCACGTGCTGTTTGTATCGGCTGTGGAACCAGTTCAACAAGTACTGGGAACAGGTTTTTGCTAATGAGGGTGATCCTTGCTATCCGCACAGACCACTCCCTTTGATGGGCCAGTCCTCCATTGAACTGAGAGATATTGTAGGAGCTGAAGACGAGGGTATGGGTGGAGACGGAGAGGGTGTGGTTTATATCAATGAGGAAGAGGATGAGGGAGGTGAAGGTGAAGATGAAGTCGTCAAATTTGAGCATTTGCATCAGGTGTTCCTTACTAAGAACTACGTTTTGTGTTCGCAAATGAAGAAGAGGTTTTATGACATGGTAGCGTCCTACGACACTTACTCACAGCATTTAGAATACGAGGCTCTTCCCTGCCCTCTCTCTCTGAAAGACATCAACTCTAAAGCTTTTCCACTCTTCCTTACCTCAAGGCAATTCCTACTCCTCCTTGATAACTCCCTTGGGGGCAAGACCTTCTTCCCTCGTAACAGAGACGGGTCTCTGGCAGTGAAGATCTGTAGCTCCGACTATGAGACTGAAGACCTGGGCACTCTACTGGACCTTGACGTGAGTGATGGTGAAGAAGAAGAGACGAATGAAGAGGATGAGCTAGCTAGGGTTGTTGGTATAAAGCAGGTTCCTGTGTGGAGAGAGGTCACATCGTGTTATTTTGTGAACGAGATATGGCCCAAGATATGCTCTCATTGTAGCGACAAGAGTATCGACCCCCTGCTTGTATGGATAGAGATAAAGTCCTTTATCAAAGGCTCTCTATTAGCCGTTAGCAAACCCTCGGGTTGTCTCTCCCCCTGGGAGTATGAATCGATCGGTCGTAAAATGGCGACTAATTTCAGTGGAAACAGGACAGAGATATACAGTCTCTTTGAGCATTATCGTGACTACGTTCATCGTAAGAGGAGTCTCAATCTATTCGATGAGAACGACCTTATCAATAATATCTATCAGAGACTAGTCAAGTTGGAATCGCCAGAGCTTCCCTGGTCCATACATCATTTCTTTATTGACGAGGTACAGGATTTCACTCAGTCGGAACTAGCTCTTATTCTCCGTCTCTCTCAGGAGCCTAATGGGCTCTTTCTGACCGGTGACACAGCCCAGAGTATCATGAAAGGTATCTCATTTCGTTTCAGAGACCTCAGGTCTCTCTTCCATCTTGCAAAGACTCAGTCTGCGGCCTTACCCTCTCCAATGCGTATCTCAGTCCCACGTGTACACGAATTATTAATCAATTTCCGTTCCCATTCTGGTATCCTGAGGCTAGCCACAAGTGTCATTGAACTACTCAAGGAGTATTTCCCGAGTTCGTTCGACCGACTACCAGAGGACAGAGGCATGTTCCCTGGACCCCTCCCTGTCTTCATCCAGTCCTGTCATGTGACTGATCTTGCTGTGTTGCTAAGGAGCAATAAGAGGGCCTCATCATGTATTGAGTTTGGTGCTCATCAGGTTATTATTGTACAGAATGAAGAGGCTAAGAAGTCTTTGCCGGACGTGTTGAAAGGTGCTGTTGTACTTACTGTCTTTGAGTCTAAAGGACTTGAATTTGATGATGTATTACTCTACAACTTTTTCACTGATTCATCTGTAAGTGTATTATTATTATTATTATTATTATTATTATTATTATTATTATTATTATTATTATTATTATTATATTTCAGATCACTAAAGAGTGGAGGGTAGTATCGACCTATGCTGACAAGACTGCGCCCCCTTCAGACTCCAAGACCAAACCACGCCCACTCAATTTCAACGAGAGATTCCACAAGTCTCTCAACTCGGAATTCAAATACTTATACACTGCAATAACACGTGCCAAGTGCAACCTCTGGATCTACGACTCCA